AGCACCCAATTGTTTCAGGCTTTGGAAAGTGAGGCCAATCCCCTATGTGGCTGTTTGAGAAGCACAAATCTTCTGAAGCTGACAAGCCCCACTGCCCACAGGGCCACACACACTGTCAACACAGTCCTGCAACATGCATGCACTCCAACCCCTTGAGAGGACCCAGTCACCCCTCTGGAGAGGCCCCACACACTCCACCAACTCCTCATGCATGCCCTGCCCCTCAGAGGCAGACCCACAAGGCCAAATGCAGAGGCTACAGGCACCCAGCCTATACATGCCCACAAGTTGCCCAAGGGCTTGCTGTTGGGTGGAGCCAGTCCCTAGGGCAGACTGCCTGCCCTAGCTGAGCTGGATTAAATTGGTGCTATAATGGGTGGGACAGACTCTGGGCTAACAGGCCAGGAGAAGAACTCCAACAGTGTTCACCAGTGTCTGTGTCAGCCTGTACTAGGCCACAATAATGGCTGCCACCAATGTCTCAGTACCCACAGAGGTCTTACCTCTCACTGAGATGCTCCCAGAGCCTATCAGGTGAGTCTCTTTTCACCAAAGGATGGTGCACCTTTTTTTCTGATGATTTTAGGTTGTTTTCTGACACAGATGAATTTGTGCTTGGGCCCTTTAAGAGCTGGGTTTTTCCCCTTATGTCCAATAGCTTTTCTGGAGGTATTCCCCATTGTAGTTAGTAGCCAGCAAAGCCAGATATTATGACACTCATCTCAGTTGTGCTGAGTCCAAAAGATGTTTATAGCACTAATGCTCCTCTGCTTAGATCCCCTTCTCCTCCAGGGAATGCTGTGTGCCTTAGGATCACTCCCAGCCAGCCACAAAGCACCGTGGCTTGCAAAGGTAGCTTTTTTTCTCTCCAGAAAGGGCATTCTGCCACTTCCACCTCAGTCAGGTCTGTCCTTTGTTGCAGAGGTTCTTTTTATCCAGTTTTCAGTTCTCTCTCAGTGGTAATTGCTCCAAGAGTAGTTGTGAATTTGTTGTGTCCATGGGAGGAAGTGAGTTCAGAGTCCACCTGTGCCACCATCTTGACCTCAAGTCTGGAATTAATTCTTGAAATTCATATTTTTTCTAGGAAAACCAATTGTTTCTTCTATAGTTCCAAATTTATTGCCCAAAAGTTGCTTATATGGTTTTCTGAAAATTCATTTAATTTCTTCTAATCTGTGGTTAAATCTCCTTTATCAATTCCTGTGCCACGTATTCATTTTTCCTTTTTTTCCCCTTATTCCAGCCAATATGTTGTATTGGTTGTTGAACAAATAAACTTTTAATTTTCATTGTTCTTTCTCTTCTTATTCTTTTGGGGCTTTGTTTTCTGCATAATCTATTTCAGTTTATTTTTATTAATTTCCATTTACTTTCTCTTGGTTAATTTGTTTTGTTTTCTGAACATGTACATTTAATATTCTTAGTCTTTTTTTAATGATTAAAGCTTTTTAAGACTAAATTTTCCTCTGAGATCTTATCTGTATCTATAGATTTTGATATAAAATGTCTTACTTTTATTAATTTTACAATAATATTCTTTTAGTTTTGATTAAGTTTTATATGGGGTAATCTTTTGTTTGTAGAGGTTTAGATTTATTAAATTAGGGTCAGAGACTATAATTCATAAAATCTCTACATTTGGGGAAATTATTAAAGTTTTACTTATGGCCAACACAATAGTTTTTGTAGATGCTTCATGGACATATGAGAAAAATATATATTATCCAATGGTCATGAGTTTTATATATGGAATCATGCATCTGATTTATAGATTGTATTATCTGCCGTTATCTCTTTCATCTTGGCTTATTTTTTGTCTGCTTGATTTGTCAAATTCTAAAAAAGATAAATTGAAGTTCTTCCCCAAAGTTATAGTCTAGAGGTTCCTCTTATGTTTTCAGATGTTCTCACTTTACATTTTTCCTGCTATAGTCTTTGGTGCCCAAATTTTTATGTTCTTGCTGTCTGATTGTTGGAATAAAGCTTGTATAACAGCTCTCTTTGTTATATTTAACACTTTGGCCTTAACTTCCTCTTTATCTGATATTTCTATTGCCACTCCAGCCTCCTATGATTTATGTTTCCCTGTTACATCTTTGCTCATCCCTTCATTATCAATTTCTTTTTCACTATGTTATAAGTATGTTTCTTGTACAAAGCATATTTAAAACTCATTTCTTACCATTGTTTCTCTCACCCATCATTTCCACTTAAGATTTTTGTTCTAATTTCATCCTCATTAGGTAAGAGTAGTTCCTTAAATAATTTTCTCAGATTACATGAGTGTTTTTCATTTGCTCTTATTTAAGAACAGTATTTTGGTTGGATTTAGGACTCTTGGATCACATTCTCTTTCCTCAAGAACCTGTAAACATTACCCCATTGTCTTAAAGTTTCTGATGTTGCAGAAGAAAAACCCAATACTAATTTGTGCTCTTGACTTTGTATGCAACATATTCTTTCAAACTGCAAGTTTATAAAGAGCTCACTCTCTCCTCAGTGTTCAGGAATTTCTCTGGAATATGTTTCGAAGTGTGCCTTTTAAAAATTAATCTTGCCTGGAATTCAGGGAGCAGTTTCAGTCTGAAGACCTGCCTCCTCTTTCTGCTCAGCTAACTGTCCCTCCATTGTTTCTGAATGTTCTCCTTTATCCTGTTCTCTCTTCCTGAAGTCCAATTATTTGCATATGAGGTCTTCTAACAAGCACTCAGGTGATGCTGACGTTGCTGGCCCAAGGATCACACTGAGGAGTAAGCTAGAGGGTGCAGGGTTCAGCTGTATCTGGGCTCGTGTCAGGGCTGCAAGTGTTTTTAGAGTGACAGAATGTTAGAACAACCCAAGGCTGAGGCAGGACATGCTCTGCCCTTCTGGGTGGTAAAGGAAGTCCCATAGTTCCCCCAGAAACAGCTGCACTGCTGACCTCTGTACATCTCTTCTCATCACTCTGAGCTTCGTCCCTGCTCTCTGGAAGGGGCCCAGTACCAGGGCAACTCGGATGCTTTGCCCAAAACGCTTCTTGTTTCCCTCATACTCATGGGTGTTGGCAAAATGGCACCAGCATGCTTCTTGGAGGGTGCAGATATTATCCAGATGCCAGACCTCCTCACCCTGTTACATCTTTGCTCCTGGGGAGAACCAGGAAATGCAGGTTAGTGGCCTCATTCTTGACCACCAGTCAGGCCATTTGTATCCTCTCTGGGAACGATGATGTTATCTAATGTTCCCTTTGCATAGGGAGAGCAAGTTTGATCAGCATTACTGGTGTAGAAAGATGGGAGTGAGGGTGACTTCTAAGGGGAAACCAACCAGAGGAGCTCATTCAAGCCAGGACTCATTCATGATGGCTGCTGTGCGCCAGGCACTATCCTAGGTGCTGAACAAAAAGTCTACTGAAAAACAGTTTCTCCTTACCAAACTATGATCTCACGTTCACAATCTCATCTGATCCCTATCGTAGCCCCATGAGGCAGTTCTTACTCTTACCACCACTTGACAGATGAGGAAACTGAGTCACAGAGAATTAAGCGTCTTACCCAGTGTCTGTTGCTCAGGTAACTAAAGGCAAAACCAGGAATCAAGCACAGTTCCACTGACTGGACACTGTCTACTACACTTTGCTATCCAATTAAACCCAAAATCCAGAGAGAGCTGTCCCGCCAGTACCCCTCTTCTGGGAGCTGGGATTAGCTTTCCTTGGTGCTTCAGACACATTTCATTATCTCTCTCTAATAACATCCCTGTTAGCTCTCGACTTAACCACCTATACATCTTACTGCAATAGGAACACACATCCACATCTCTTCTCATCACTCTGAGCTTGGTCCCTGCTCTCTGGAAGGGGCCCAGTATAGGGGAAACTTGGATGCTTTGCCCAAAACACTTCTGTGACTAACCAGCTGCAGTGCACTGGTTTGTTAATGACCATGGAAACATCTTCTTTGCTTTGTCTCCACTGACATCTCTGTCTTAGTCTCCATCCCAGCTTTGAAAGTGCCTCCTCAGCTGAATGCAACAGCCCAACATCTGGAATATCCAGCTGTGGAAAAGGCTATGTGGATAGCTTCCTGTCACTGCTGAGAAGATGATAGATCGCATCCACTCAGCTTTACTCTGAGCCCACCTGTCAGAGACTTGCCTTCATCAAGGCTCAGGCCTGAAGCCTGAAGCCCTGCTGCTTATCCATCACAGGGGAGACCAGGGAAGAAACTCCAAAAGCCTGGCTTTGTTATGAATTTTCCTCATTTGGCGATGTCCCTGGGTGAACCATTAAGAGTTGAATGTGGAAGATTAAAGCAGTCTGTTTTAGAGAGGAACATCTGGTTCATTTGTGCTCTTAGCAGTAGCAGCGCCAGCCAGTTTCACTTCTGCTGCTTGGATGGCAGGGCCAGCTTGATGTGAGGAGAGGAGGGCCAGAGGGAGGCCATAACTGCTCAGCCCTCCTGAGCAATCCTTATCATTTGGCCTCCAGGCCTTTGCCCAGGCTGTCCCTGCCATCTGGGATGCCTTCCCCCATCTCTTCTCCACCTGCTTAAACCCTGCCTCCTCCCTCATGCCTTCGGCTCCCAGTAGGCTCTCCTTCCCCAATTGGTAGATACAACACTCTGTATCTACCATTCTCCTTAGTTTTTCAGCATCTACTACCCCTACTGCCATTTTGTGCACAAGATGTACCTTGAGAGTCTCATATTTGGAGCTCACAAAGGACTTACCAAAGTGAGGACAGAGTTGGGAGCAAAGCTGAACTAAAATCCAAGTCTCCTTCCTCTCTGCTTTTATTTTCCTTGTCTAACAAAGTCTGTGACTCATTTTCTCCATCTCAGTGGAGATGACATGCTCGTCCCCTGTTCATCAACATGGGCTGAGATTTTGGTCTGGATAGAGTTCATTTTTGCACTGTGGAGGTCATATGGTGATGGCGGCTGGTTTTTGGTATCAGTCGGGGTTCCAAGAGCTCCTTCCTGCCTCAACTCTGCTAAGGCGTATATTTACCTCTCTTCCAGTTCTGGCAATGTGGCCAATGGGTGGAAGTAGTGATTGATGATCGCCTGCCAGTCCTGAATAAGGATTACCTCTTTGTGCATCCTCGCAAAAACCAAGAGTTTTGGCCCTGCCTGCTGGAGAAAGCCTACGCCAAGTAAGGATGGGCCCACCACTCAGCCCAGGGCTTCAGTGCTGGCCCTGCCCACCTGGCTACTTGCCCTGACAGATGCTCCCCACCAGCCAACCCTGGGACTTTCAGAAGCTCTGCTGAACACAAGCAATGCCTCTGGGAGCATCAGAGCCTTTGCCACCCAGCTGGGCATCCTCCCTAAACAATCACTGTTTTCAAGGCTGTGTTGGGGCCATGGGGAGAGCCCCAGAGGCACATAGTGAGGGGTGGGCAGGACAGAGCTGGACAGAGATATACACTGACAAGGATATTATTGCAAGGGCTGATATAAGGGCCCAAATGAGATATGATATCATGGTCAAAATCTGATGAGAAGGCAGAGAATAGAGGAAACAATCTCGACTTTCTGACTCACAGAGAGTCAGGCTGAGGCTGTCCAGGGGAGTTGGCACTGAGCAAGGCCTTGAAGGATGGGTAGAATTTCAACAATGTGAATGATTCAAGCAAAGACGTAGGGATGGGATGATGCAAAGTGAGGTAGGAGCAGTTGGGGACCTGGTGTGGCTGCTGTGAGATTGCACTAATGTGTAGGGGCAGGGCAGGAGTTACTTGATATTATGTGGTCCAAATGCCATGATTCAGGGCCTACCTTCTGGTGTTGACAAGCTCAAGGACTTATAAACACCCCAACTCATATGTGTTGCTTAGATTCTTGAGTTGCTTTCATTCAACAGATGTTTATTGAGCATTTAACCAGAGGCCAGGCACTATGCTTGGCACTGGGATAGAGACTCTCAGACTGGCTCAGGTGGGTGTGTACAAGAGGATGTGTGTGTGAGAGAGGTCACTGTCATAAAGAGCCACATAGGCGGGGGGATGCATCAGAGCCAAAAGTCAATTCTAGGTGATAAAAGGATGGAGGACCACATTTTCAGGAGAAAACGTGTAGCAGAGAGTATCACCAAATCAGATTCTTCAAAGATCGTCCTAACCAACCATCATTTTATAAATAGGGAAGCCAAGGCCCCAAATAGTGATGTGGCAGGTGGAAGCAGGCAGCGTGAATCTGCTAAAGTCTTCAGTCATTTGACCAGGGGACATCTTTAGCAAGGCTGAAGACTGTGCCCAGTCCAGTCCCAGGCTGTTAGGAGCGGTAACAACCCTCAATCTACCCCTGTCCCTGTCCTTCTTGAGGTCACAATCTGAACAGTGAGACATTTCAAGACCTCTTTTTTGCATTCTATCTTTTGAGCCAACTTGTGAAAAACTAAAGCTATTGCTCATTTCCAGTGTCAGGAAGAACTGCTCATTAGCATTTGAGAATGAAGCTCAGATAACAGCCAAGGTTGTTGAGCCAATCCATATGTTTGGGGAGGTTAATTCACTTCTAAGCTACTTACACAAACACTGTCATTATCTTTCCAGTATGGATTCTGCCCTCAACACTTCAGGGCGTCGTTTTTTTCCTTACGAAAAGGGAGTAAAGGGGGGAACATGGCAGTTCACTTGGAGAATTAGAAAGCTTGTGGGCTGAAATGATGACTTTGACCCCATTTTGTTAACAACTGACCTAAGGCAATCATTCAGCTTGAAAAGAAATAGGAAAGTGGACCCGGAATCCACATTCCACCGCCTAAAGAAATCTAGCAGAGGATAAAATGTTTCAAACTATTAAGCTATTTAAAAGCTTTTGCCGCCATCCAAAGAAGGAAGTTAGAGAATGCAGGAAGGAATCAAATAGAATTATAGCATATCAGAGCTGGAAGGGACCTCTGTCAGCATCAAACTCTACCTTCTTCTTTGAAAAATAAGGAAACTTAGGCTCAGAGAGGTGAAATGACGTGCCCAGGGTCACACAATGTTTGGGGCCAAGGTGGGATGAGAACTAGTCTCCCTAGTCGTGTGTATTTCCATCATTCTTGAAACTGTCAGCCCTACACAGAAGGATTTGTCTTTTTACTTCTTTGGAACTCAGTGTCAGGTACACAGGGACCACAGCAGAAACATGGAGAACCCATCCGTCCAGGTGGAGATGGCTCTCTTTCCCTCCAAAAGTGTAGGCAATACCGAGTGAGCATGTGGACTCCAAACTTTCAACTCTCCTTGTGGCTGGAGAGTCTGGAAATGAATTGGTCAAGGCAGTCAGAAGTGGGGAGAAATCTCTGTCTGCAGATGTTTTCCCCCAGAGGTCATATGACAGAGAGGAGACTGGGGGACAAGTTCTGGTAGGCTGCATATCACCCTCTATAGAATCTCTACAGTTAGAAATCGCAGCATTTCAGCATTCTTTCTGGCTCTCATTTAGACATCTGAATTATCCCTTCTTTCATATCATTGCCAGGAGATAGACATTTCCCCAAAATAAGGCTGAAGCAGAGAGACGCAAACAAGGCTCTCTCAGAATTCCTGGGTTCAGGTGACAAGGCGTAGTGACAGGTGTGGGGAACAGTTCTCTCTATCTTTCCTTCCCTTTCTATCTCCTGTCAGCAAAGGGGGCTAAGAATAGTTGCCATGTTCCTGAAGCATCAGTGGGATTCATGAGCTCATGTTTGTAAAGCAGAGAGATAGCTCTTGTCAAAACACCCAGCTGCTGCTGGGACGAGCTTTGTGGGCATTGTGGAGAGACAGTGAGAGAAGATGCAGAGAGAGAGGGCTGCTGGCCGCCAGTCCTTTCCCTTCTATTGGGTGTATCTGTGGTGACTGCAGATGGTGTGGGTGTAAGACATCAGACAAGGCCCATAGATCCTGAGGCTGTGGGCCTGAAGTGATGGGACAGGGCCCCATGGCTGCTTTTTCGCGGTGGCTCTGGCGCAGCCCTATTGAAGCCAGGGAGGGCCCCTGAGTGAATCACCTGGAAGGGGCTGACACAGTGCAGATGTGGGCTCTGGAAAGGGTTCTAGGACCCCAGTCTTTGTGAACTTCCCGTACTCTTAGCAAAGCTCTCTTAATTTAGGACTAGGAGCCAGAATAATACACGTGGGTAATCAAGAGAGTCAGGCACTCGACCCAAGCAGGCATAATCCTGATAAAAGGCAGCCTTTGCAGTTGACTAAGCAAACACGCCAGAGATAAGAGTCTAGTACCAGGCCTCACCCTGGGTCAGAGAGAGGCAGAGATAGATAAGATTCAGAACCAGTTTTAGATCCAGTTGAGATCAATCTGTCATGTGATAGTTTCTGCAGAATTTCCCTTTTGTCTGTGTATCCTTAGCTTCCTTCAATAAAAGACTTTCTACGCCATTCAAGGCATTCATACCTGGGACAGTGTCCTGCTTAGAGTGGCTGCTCGATATGTATTTGCTAAAGTGAATTTACATGAATTCTGGGTGATCCCTAGAAGGAGAGAATGACAGGGGTGGGAATATGGTGAGAAAGGAGAGTCTGAGGGGGCCCAGAGCTGACCCAGTCAGCCTCACTGTTTCCAGGTCTCAGGCTGAGGACCAGAAGGAGAAGGGTTTTGTCCAAGGTCTCAGGTCCCATTAGAGGCAGCAGTACAGACGCAGTCAGGCCCCTGACCCTTGCATGGTTTTGCATTACCAGAAAGAAAGCCATGGAGGAGCTTCCCCGATGCCACCAGCCTCTGAAGGGCTTGGCCTCCACTTGCCCATCAGGGACAGGGGTGCTCAAGTCCCTGGTGAGAAACCTGAAGGACAGGCGTAGTCCCATGGGCAACTTTGACCCAGGAAGCAGCCCCAGGGTCTCCTGCCTGGCCTGGCCTCAGCTCCATAGCCTTTGCCCTGCCTGTATTTTGGGATTCCACGGGAACCTTTCCAGCTCACCCCACTGACTGGAACTTGAGTTCTCAAAACAGATCTGACCTCCCCTGGTCCCTGCTTCAGTGGTTCTCCTTGTGACTGATCAATCCACCCACTCTCCCAGGAGCACCAGTCAGCCCACGATGGGCACCCCTCCACCATGCTCTTCCAGCTCCAGAAGCCTCCCCGATTTGATTCTTTCTCCCTAGAATGCTCGTCCCACTTGTCCTGACCTGGGTAAAACTGAACTCAGAGGTGTACCCCTCCCAGAAGCCTTCTCTAGACCCCCAGGCTGGGCTCAGGCACTTCTTCTCTGTTCCGAGGTGACCCATTTGCTCTCAGAGCAAATAGACACACAAGGAAGGCAAAGAAACTTGACGTGTCATTCTAAGGAGAGAGTGTCCTGGTGGCCAAGGGGGACCAGGACACTTGGTGTGGCAGAGGGGGAGACAAGTTTGAAGGTGGAAGCAGGAGAGCTCAGATTTGCTGTGCCTGATGATGATGGCAGCAAGCACACCCTCTGTGAGCCAGACACTTTTCCATGTGCTCTACACGCATTAACTGGCAGAACCCTCACCACACCCACTGAGGCAGGTACTGTCACATGCCCATCCCCCAGACGAACAAAAGGAGCCTTAGAAAAGCTCAGCCTCCTGCTGAGAGCTCATGAGACGGGGAGCCAGGAGTTGGACCTGGGAGGGAGGGCAGAGGCGCTCTGAAGAACAGCTGGGAGAGTTTCAAGTGGTTTGCTTTGGAATGTTAGGTAAGACTTGTCCTCCTCTACATTACCTTCAGTAAAGTCAACTTATCGCCCTCATGATTCTGGGGCGAGTGGGTTAGTGCTGAGAATAGGAATGGGAATTCTGGACCAAGGATTGCACGGAGAGAGAACAGAGGCTGCTTGTGGCCACAGTGGGTGTCAGGGTCGTTGACTGTGAACTCTCTGAGGGCAGGAATGGGGTCTCACCCATCTTTAAACATTCAGTGCCCTGAATGGTACCCCAAACACAGTAAATACTTAACACTATTGTTAAACTGAACGGGAAACAGTGGATTCTCATCATAAGAATATCCAGTATTCATTAAGGGCTTGCCGTATGCCAGGCACTATGTAAGCCTAGCCCCATGAGGTTTAAGTAACTTGTCCAAGGCCAAACAGCTAAATATGTAGTGAGCTTGGGATTCAACCCCTGGCATGTGGCTCCAGCACCTGCACTCCAGACCTCTACACAATACTGCTGCTCGTGGGGCTGCCCAGGCCCCAGAGACCAGGGGAAGGAAGGTGGTGAGGGTGGCACATCTCTAGAATCTCCATCCAGGCGAATACAGGTGGGTGGCCATGGTCTAGGGGTGGATCAGGCAGTCCTTCACCTGGGAAATATGCAGGGGTCAGGTGTGCAAACTCCATCCCCAGAGTTCTCACCCCAGGCATTGAGCTGACTGTCTCCCTCCCAGGTTTCGAGGGTCCTATCTCCACCTGCACTATGGCCACCTCCCTGATGCCATGGTGGACCTCACAGGAGGGGTGATCACCACTGTCAACCTGCACTCCTCCCCTTCCGACCTGGTGATGATGGTAAAGATGGCAGCCAAGGCGGGCTCCCTGATGACCTGCGCCACCCCAGCAGGAGTGAGTAGACCAGGAATCCCTTTGCACTGGTGCCAGCCTTTCCTCCCCCGGGAGTGTTCATCCACTGGCCCATTCAGCTGGTGAGAGGAATGGCCAAGCAGCCGTCACAGAGCACTGACGCTGTGCTTTACCAGGGTCGCCTCATTTAATCCTCACAGCAGCCCTCCTCCGAGATATGGATTGCAGAGTTAAATGATCTCAGAGAAGCTAAGTAAAATGCTCATCACCACACAGCCAGTAAGTGGCTGAGCAGGGGTTCAAATGTTGCTGTCTAACTTCAAAGCCTTTACCTAGTGCTTGCCGGTGACCAGGAGCAATGGGTCCAGAGTGACCAGGGAGCCCTCTGATTCTCACTGAATCTAGAGGCAGCACCCCAAGGGCAGTGTGTCCCATTTTAAAAAGCTTGGATAACTCTCCAAATGTATTTGAGTCTGTTCTGAGACAGCTAGTGCCCCATCCACGAGGACGCTTCCTTCACTCTTAAAACATGTGGACTTTGAGTTACACATCCCTAATCTGAAATGCCACCCAAAAACTAAGATGCACTTTGAACTCCAATTACTCCCAGCACAGGGGTGGTGGGTATTCCCAACTCCTACAAAATGCTCAGCAGACACGTTTTGTGCTGTGTCTCACTGGTGATGAGTGATTGGAGGAGCAAGCAGCCCATGTCCTCAGGACTCTGTGGGGTCCTATCAGTATGGGGTGTTCTCCCGATGTCTCGAATACCTGGACCCTCAACCATCCAGCAGCCTTTAGACCCTGCCTCTCTAGAAAAGAGTTCCAGGAACATATGCCATTCCAACGTGAGTCAGTAGGACGCTTTCATCAAGCCACATCTCAGCTGCTGATTGAATTGTGCTTTTCTACTTTGAAGAGGCTGTGAATGTTTAATGCTTCTGCTTTTCTCCTTTAAGCCAACAGGTGAGGCCACGAGAATGCCAAATGGCCTGGTGAGTCAGCATGCCTATACAGTGACAAGCGCTGAGCGGGTAAGTCACCCATGGGCCATGCCCCAGTGTTCTGGTTCCTGGGAAGAGGACTCAGAATCACATGCCTTCAGCAAGCCCAGCAATGCCGAAATGAGTATCTATCATTCTCACCCCCATGGTGGCGCCCATCATGGACAGCCTCAGTTTCTTCTATTCATACAGAAATTTTGGTGTCCCATGTCCTCATCCCCCAGGGACCCACCAGAGATCTTGCTATCCTTGAACTTATCTCAGATAGGCTGAGTGTCTAGACTAGGGGATTTGCCCAAAAAGAAAGCAGAATGAACTACACAATTGACTCTGGGGGAAGTTTTGCCCTGAAATGGTTTTATTTGTTAGGTACCAACTAAACTGCTATGACAAAGACACTCCAAAATACAGGGGTCCAACAAGATAAAATTCCTTTCTCCCCCAAGTGAGCAGGTGATCCCAGAGCTGGTAGGTGGCTCTGCCGTCCACAGCATGGGGCTTCTACCTGGGAGCCCAGGGCAGCTGCTCCAGCTCTCCTCATCTCCCAGCCAAAGGAAGAGCAAGAGGCCAGGGGACTCTTTGGTACATCCAGACAGAAGGCGTACATCGGAAAAAACACACAGCATTTTCCTTCAGATCCCATTAGTCTGAAGCTAATCAAGTGCCATACTGAGGCCCAAGGGAGTCTGGGAATCATACCACCTACCTGGGCTGCCATATGCCCAGCTAAAATGTTATTCCCATGGGAGAGGGGAGGATGGCTATTGGAAGGCAGTCTTTCCCCTTGATGTAAGAACTGACTTTGTGTGGACAAAAATGTATGTAATTACTGTGTGCAGTACCATTTGGTCTGGAAAACACTGCCAAAGTCCAGCCTCCAGCATTCATAAATGAGGAAGCTGAGACCTCAGAGGCAAAGGTCTTTCACAAGGTCACACAGCTACTTGAAATGGCTGGGCTTAGATACCACGCCACCTCGGTTCCTATCTAGCATATGCCTAGCACTTCCTGGCCTTGTGATGACTTAATACAAATGTTCCCCCATGTCTGTATTTCTTATAACTCTTGAGGTGTAATAATGTCTTTCTAGGCCCTAAGAGACAGTGTTCCAAACTCCAAGATACATTTTTCACTGGTATTTATGGGCCAAGGAATGCAGAATGTCAGGTTCTATTTCTGGCATGCTTTCTCATATTTGCCTTCCCTCTCTCTGTATCAACATCTCTCCTGTCCATTGACCTAAGGCCACCTGCTCCATTGTTTCGTGTGTTGGTGGACGTTCCAATCCACAAAACAGGGGCAATATCTTCTGTCTCCCTCAGGAAATCAGTAACAAATGCTTCCGCTGCACAGTGTCTGGGAGACAGCGGGCACCTAATAAATGCTTCTTGGATCAATGGATGAGTGTGTTTGCATCACTGAATGAATACATTTGTTCTTGGCCTATGAAGCTGGCATCACTGACCCTCCATCATAGAACATACATGAAGAGCTCAAAAGACATTTGCCACAAGCAGGGAAGAGGTCGTCCTGATAGACCCAGGCCAGAAGAGATCCCAGTCGCAGCGGCTCCAGACTCCCTTCTTCTGGATTCTCCCACGCCCTTCTCTGAGTTCTCAATGGGAACAGCCAGTGCCATCATCACACCTGGCCACATGCGGACACTCTGCTCCCCGCAGCTCCCCTGTCCCAGATGTGGACAAGTCCAGGCTAGGGATAACAAATCAGTTTTCTTGTGTGTCAACATTGATCAGTTAGCAAAGCTACCTGGATTACTATGTTGACGAGACTCTGGCACCGCTTCCAGATTTGAGGAAAGAGAGCTGTGATCAATTAATGACATCTGTGCCGGGCATGGAATGAAGAAGCAGTGGTACTTGCGTGATGTACCTGCCATTCCTGGACAAGGCCCTTTTTATGCATTGAGATAGCCTTTGTATCTCCTCAGGTCACAGGGAGGAGGGGCTTGTGTATCCACAGGTCCAGATGGCCATGGAATATGAGTCTCCACAAAGACATGGCCAGGGGATGGCAGTGACTGCCATGTTATCAAGCAGTCATGTCAACATCTAGGGTCGAGGTGATAGAGATGAACTTGGGAGTTGGGCTGTGGGCTCAGCTTGGGTTTGGGTTCCTCATGATTCTGCTCACAGCCTGAATGTCTGCTCCCCCAGAGCACACTTTCAATTGTTCTTATAATACACTGAGCAGTCTGAACAAAGGACACCTCCCCTGTAACAGTAGGTGATCAAGACTACGTGTCCTCTATGGTCAATTCCTGCCATTCTGTGGCTGCTGACACTTTCCAGCATATGCCCTAAGAAGCACCAGCCTGGAGAGATCGTCTGTGAAAGCAGTTTTCCAAATGTTTGGAAAATGTTGCTTGCCATGTCCTCTGCTTGGAAATTCACAGTGGACATTAGCATTTTAAAGGCTCTGAGAAGGCCTGTGTTAATGCTACAAGTATAGCTTGGTTTTAATTTAAGAAACCATTTTTTCTAGGAATAGTTATCAACAGCCTGTGGAACTAGCTAGAATTCAAGAGAATACATTTGAGGAAATACTATCCTAAGATAGATAACCTGGATTATCTCTTGCTCAGTGGCACCTTTTCTGAGAGAGTTGACCAGGGTCAGGGGTACAGTCAGTAGCCAGGAGAATGAGGCAAGGAAGCCAGCCCATTCTCAGATGTAGCTGTGACCTTGGCCTTGAATGGACTCAAGCCACCTGGCCAAGGCCCATGTGATCACCACTAGGGTACTGTCAAAAAGGAGTGACATCATTGGACAAGGGCCCAAGAACTGGACTTGGTTAAATGTTCCTCCTCCAGAAAGAGGAGGTTATAACTCTAACCATGAGTGCTAAGATTAAACAAGCCCATAAGTGCAGTGTGCTCTTTAATCTGCTCATCCTCCCTCTGGGCGGGACACAGACAGGAAGATAAATGAAATTGGCATTTTTTATTATGTACCTAGCGCAGTCGGTGACTCCCCTGGGCAAGGGGGTAGTGTTTATCTGCATGCCTCATTTAGCCCTCTTTCAGCCCCTTCCCGTCACCGGCCACTCTTCTCCCCCCTGCCTAGCTGAGCCCCGGACTGTCTGTTAGGCACTGAGTGTGGATCATTAAGCTCTTTGGGCCACCAGGCAACCATTTTTCATGTCCCTACTCCACGGGCTCCATCAGGGGCTGGTGGTTAATAATACACCGTGTGCAAGGCGGGGAGTGCCTGGAGGTGGGGCAAGGAGGGTCAGGATGCTGGGTTTATGCCAAGAGCCCCCCATCTCAGGTAGGATTAAAAGCCAGAGCACCTTTCATGGCAGTGCAGTGATAGAAGCAGATGGAGAGGAGCCTTACCCAAGCCGAACTCCTGGGCCCTTGACTGACGGCACTGCTCCTTCATGGCAATCACCTACTTGTGATCACATGGACCTTGGCCAGGTGGCTCAGGGGTCATACTGAGGCCAAGGTCACGGCCACATCCAAGAATGGCCTGGGCCCCAGAGCAGCTATATCTTTTATCTACTCCCAATTCCAAGACTAGGAGCCTGGGCTTTGGACACTGACAGTGGCTGGGATCAGAACTCTGCCTCTGCCACTTACTCTGAGGCCTTAGGAAAGTTGCTTAACATCTCCGATGCTCGGTTTCCTCCTCTGCAAGAACAGGATTTTGTGAACATCTACGTCAGAGGACTGAAGGATGTAACACACAGCAAGCACCAGCCAGCCCCGGCTCCGAGCCCTGCCTCCACACGCGAGTTTCTCTTCCATCTGGGGATATTCCACTCAGGGCTTTCTCAGCCTCCTCTGACCTGGAATCGCTGAACCAGTTCGCCCCTTCCCTCACCCCTCCAGGCCTCTGTCTCCTCAGACAACATCAGCACAGATCAGTATCACAGCTACAACTCAGTCATCCTTTAATTCCTCTCACAGGCTGAGGGCTACTGGATCCGGGAATGTAAGTTCCAAGGACTATGGTTGTTTTGCTGTAACTTTTCTGGCTACAGTGGTCTGAAGGAGCAAGTGTGCCAACCTCCGTATCTGGGAATGAGTGAGGATGGGGTCCCAGAGGAAGGAAAGTTCAGGCCATCAAGGTGCCCTGCTCACCAACAGAAGCAGGATGATGGGGACCTGGTGCAGGGCCAGGACTGCAGGCTAAGGAGGGCTAGCCTTGGATATCTCCACTCCCAGGCCATCCTGGTCTTGCTCAAATCAGCCTTCTCTACTGTCCTTGCTCAGGACAGCACTGTGTAGCCCTTGGTACAACTCCCAATGGGCCACTGGCATGGAAGCAGCTTTGTCCATGGAATAGAGACACCAGCTCTATTGGAGGATGCCAGAGACCCATAAAAATCTCTCCTCTGCAGCCCGTGGCAACATCTCATGCTATTTATCTGCTATTAAATCTCAGCTCGCCCAAGTTCTAGGATGCAGTCATATGGAATGATGAAGTTGCACCTGCCCTGCAAGATGCTGAGCAGGAAGCGGGGCTGTTTTCTCCTCTATCTCATTCCAACTCCACGCAGGCAGCAGAGAGACATTGATTTTTTTTCCTTGCAATTTTTTTTTTTTTCCTGGCTGCAGCCAAATGAGGTCAGAAGTTAAATTAGTCCTTGGAGGTGAAAAACAGCTGCATTCATATCCCTTCTCTCTGCTGACTTTTGCTGGATTTTTGCTGGACTTTTGCTGGACTTTTGCTGGACTTTTTCTGTTCTTCTTTACAGATTTGGTACAGGAATGGCTGGGAAGATCTTATCCACCTGTGGAACCCCTGGGGCAACACCGAATGGAGAGGGCGCTGGAGCGATGGGTATGGCATCTGAAAACCTCTCTCTGTCCTTCAGGAGACCCAGCTTTCAGAAAGTATCTTGCCCCCCAAGGGCGGCATCTATCTGTCCTGCTGTGGATCTCACTGCAGGCCTGTCCAGTTCACCCCTGTGTGTGGCTGTCAGTCCATCTCACACTCCCATGATGCCATTTGCCAAGCATCTATGAGACACCTACTGCATACTGTCTATACTAAGTACATTGTGTTAGGTGGGTACTGGAATATATACAGATGACAAGACCCAGTGTCTGATCTCCAGAAGGTTACAGTCCAGAGCCGTGAACCCACATACCCAGAATTAGTTTTTAAAGGGACTGGGGGAGGCAGGGCAGAGCCAAGTTGGCAGAGAAAGATGGAGAGAAGGAGCTTTAGCCCATGGATTCTAATCCTGATGATGCTATGTCATCAAGATGGACAAGGCTTCATTTTGGGTGATTGGGGGAGCTGAGGCAAAGATCTAGATGATCTTTTTATTGAATCCACCTGGGTCGCCCATCCTGCCCTGCGGATCTGGACTTTCGCATGTAACCCACGCCTTGCTCACAACAGGAGTGAATGGAGCTCTGTGGGTCTCAGAGGCCCCTGTTAGCCATGTCCCAGCAGCTGCTCTCTGACCTGTGGGACCCAGCTGTGTGGTCAGTGGTTCCCAGGGAGCTGGGCTGGCATTTCCCAGCTTCCAGGAGGACTGACCCCTGGTCCCTTTCCGTTTGCTGACTGAGAATGAGAGCAGTCCTGAGAAGGATCGAGGGCCAGCCACGGGTTACTTGCTCCTCTGGGCAGCCTCCGAGGGCCTGTGCGTGCCCATGAAAAGCGTGAGGCAGCGGCAGCCACAGCACATCGCTGGGGTTGAGGGGGAGGAGGGGGAGGAGGTAAGGAGAACATGACCTGAAAGGAAATGCGAAGCCTTCAGACAAACAGAACAGGACCCAACAAGCAGTGAAAATCAATACAGTGAGAGGTGAGCTCTGGAAGGCAAATGCAGAGCTGGCCAGCGTCCCAGCCCCAGATCTGGGCCACCAGAGCCCCGCCCGCCACCTAGGCTAGGCCATGGTGGGGATGGCTCTGATGCTCCGTGAGCGCCCACCGCTGATGTGCGCCTGCGCAAGCCGGTGCTGGGCAAATGTGAGCAAACGTCCTTGCGCTGGGGCGGAGGGTAGGGAAGCGAGGGAGTGAGGGAGGAAACAAGCCACATGTATTCATAGAATAAACCTGGATGTGCCTCAGATGTCCCCTGGAGAACAGGGCAGCCGATCCCTTCCGCAGAAGGGGAGTGACCGTGTGAAACCATGAACTGCTGGGCGGTGTTCGTATTTGCTGTCGCCCTTCTTCCCTTATCTCACCTCTAGTCTCCCTTCCCTCCCAAGATTATCTCTTGCCCTTTCCAATGTAAATCTTAATAACCTCTGGCCTTTTCCAGATCTTCCCAGTCATTACCCCGAGCTACCAGATATGGCCCAGGGAATGATACAATCGGCCAGGATCCCGGATCTGGGGTTGGCTGTTGGGGTGGGACTGGAGGAAGTGCCATGTCAGTGACACCTTCCCCTTGGGTAGGAGAACAGCCAATCAATTCACATGCGTTGATAGTTTGCCCATGTCTCCCAAATATCAAATGACCGGTGACCACAACCGAGGACATCAGAGATCAGGGAAAAGAAACTTCCCTCCAGCTGCTGTGTTCAGGGAAAGCTTCATGGATGGGACTGAACTTGAGTTCAACCTCAAAAAAAAAAGGTCTGACTCACTTCAAAAGAAATCGCTGGGTAGGCGGGGATGGGTAGGTCACTGTGCTGAGCCCAGAACATTTGTAGTGTGTTCAGGGCCAACAAGCTGGCCTGAGGCAGGGGAACCTGAGACAGAAGTGTTGGGAACTGGGCTGGAGCCCAAATGCCAGCTTAGAAGTTTGGGTTTACACCCTCCAGGCCTGGGATTCATGAAGGCCCTTGACCAGGAAGAGAGGTGTGCAGAGCAGGAATTAGCGGAGGGACCGTGCACGCTCTCCATGGGGTCATGTACTTCCAGCGCTAAGGTTCACCGTTTCCCACCAGAAACCAGGCTGGAAGGAAGCGGCAGGGGCTGCATAATCACTGTCTCCACACAGGTGGTCGATCTCCTCCCTGCTTTTTAAGGAGTGGAGATGGATGGAGAGAGCCACATGGTCTAATCTCAGCCGTAATTGAAATTTCAGTCGCACACACTTAAAGGCAAACTTGCATGAATCGATAGTGTATTGATTTACACTACATTTATTTTCCCTTACACACTGCAGAAAATGTAATTATTGCTTAATTATAAAATTGCCATTTTACAATAACACATCTGACTGGCTCAGCCTGCAGCCAGAAGCCTGGGTGGTGGTCCCTGCCTCACTCTCCCAGCACAGAGGTGACCCAGGCCCTCCATGCAAGCCACTTCCAGAGAAAGATCTCATGACACTTCTGTGCCCTTGGGGCCTGTTGCCCATGAGCCTGCTTCCACTTTGAGGAGTGGACTGAATAAGGGACAACAGCTCCCTTCTGCCTGTAAGGGTGTCGTCCTTCACCACAGACCCTAGGACTAGCTTCTGGAACACGTTATCTCAATGAAGTGGACAGCTTTAATTATTAATTAAGCAAGCAAAAGATTATTGCATGCCTACTATGTGCCAAGCATTGTGTTAAACCCCTGTGACGATATAATGGTGAGCAAGCCTCACAATATCATGGTGCCTGGAGTGTAGTGAGGGATAGCAAGAAATCAGTGAGCACTAGTGACACAGGGAACTAAGTGCTGAGACAGGAGTGGTACAGGGTGCCATGGGGCCTCAAAGATGGGGTACCAATCCCAGAGGTGGGGCAGGGGCACCATAGGGAGACATGCAAGGTTTCTCAGCAGAAGTGCCTTTTAGGAGGAGAGAAGAGTACAAGTTCTTGGTTACAGGACTGAAAGCAGGAGGGGGGTTCCAGGAGAGGGAACAGCATGGTGAAGGCCAAGAGGTTGTTGGGGGTGGGGTGGCATGGACAGATGGACACGGGACAACACAGGTATTTCTAAGGAAATGAAGACAGTCATTGCTTCTGGAGCATAGAATTCAAGCAAGGGCAGAGAGAGAGCTGCTCAGGTAAAGCTGGAGAGGGAGGCAGAAGCCAAGGTTCTGTTTCAGGAGTGTGAACTTCATCCTGAGAGTAAAAGGGAACTACCGATATGTCTTCAACAGGGAGAGGCCATAATCAGACTCTGCTTTAGAAAGATTTGATGTCCGAGTGGAGAGCGGATAGGAAAGCAAGCAGGACTGAGTTGGGGAACTCTGAGATGGAGATGGTTCCTAAAGCAGGGAAGCAGCAGTAGGGATGGCAATCAGTGGATGGCTTTGAGAGGGGTTAGGAGATAGAATCAATAAATCATTAATTTTTGGTGATTGTTTGGATGTGGGAGTGCGAGAGGGAATGACTCCTTATGTTTTCATTCAGGCAACAGGAGGAGGCAGAGGATAAAGTATCGTGTGGGACGCGTTGATTCCAAGGTCACTGTGGGGCTCAGGTGGAGACGTGGGATGGACCATAGCCTGTATCCATATAGAGCTCAGGAAAGAGGCTCAGGCTGTTACAGTTTGGAAGCCCTCAGCATACAGAGAATGCTGAGTCTGTCACTAGGTAGAATGCCAGTCTCCACGTGCACCCCAGGAACTAATGGAGGCCTGTGCAAGGGGCCTCTGTTGGGCCATGTGTGGTTGAGATGAAACGCTCTGGGAGATCTCACCCTATGGTCTGTCTGTCGATCCTCAGGTCTCTGGAGTGGCAGGAAATCCATAACCAACAGAAAAGCCAGCTGTTTGAGGAGGATAAAAACGATGGCGAGTTTTGGTATTTACTCTTCTTTTAAAATTATATTTTAAATCTTTAACTATTGCTCAAACCCTCCATCCCTACCCCTTTCCCTAAACTTTTGAAGAATAGAGATGAGCTTTGCAGAGACCTATGTAGAAAGAGCCTGTTTTTTCCACCAAGACAGAAAAGCTTTGGATGGGAAATTATTTGGGTGCTCCCTCTGTGTGAAAGGCATTTCAGCTCTGAAATATTGGAACTTCCATGAAATTTTCATGGTGAAAGGAAATATTGACACCAAAGCTTTGAAATCAACAGTTTCCTGGAAACTTGGAAACACTGTTATTATGCCTGTATCTTCTCTGCCATCTTTTGGGGTCCCTGGAGCTCCACAGTCTCCTCTGGCATGAACTGTGACCTCCCAGGCCTGAAGCTAGGGTTCTGAGTGAGACATCAGTGTCATCACCCTGCAGCTACTTAGGACTAGATGTTTTAAAAAAACATTCTCAGCCATATGCTCGCATCTTAAAGGATAAGATGGACATTTCTCTGAGAGGTTATCTGGTTTGCTTAGTGACATCTTTAAATGAAATCTAGCATGTGTGAAAAGGAGCCTGGGTCTAAGTAATTAAGAATCAGAGGGACAAATGTAAATTAGAAGGAAAACTATTTGTAGTATCTCTACTTTAATCAAAGTACCAGGTGGGATTTTAGGTGTTGAATCCATTGTATTCTGATCCAGTCCTCAACAATAAATTTGGCAAAGTGTCCCAGCAGAAGGTGATTTTCCTAGCAGTGTGTAGGACCCATGGCAGAGAGAGACTGGCAGTCATCCTGCTGGCCATGAGAGGGACATGCAGAACCAGAATTTGACTCTGTCCTTGCCCTCCCAACTACTGGTGGGAGTAAAAGTGTCCTTGACAGTGGATGGGCCAGAATGAGGCTCTGATCTTTGGCTAGGACAGTGGTAAGTCAATGGGTACTTTAGCTGACAGGCAAAGGTAGAGCAAAGTAATAGGAACCCCCATCCTAAGGACAAAACTAGTGGTCATTGAGTGATGTGTATCTATTTTTAACAGGATGTCATGTCGAGATTTCCAAGAGAACTTCTCCTGCTTGTTTATATGTAACCAATTTCCAATCCTCCTGGACCATGGAAACATGCCCCATGAAAGATGGTCCCAAAACACGTTTAACGACCGTGCAATTCCAGGCAACACTACAGGTAGTTATGACATTGGTAATTATTCTGCCAGACGGGAAGCTGCCAGCCCTAACCCTGTCCTGGCTTCAGGTCTCAATGGCCCTTGATTCTGGACCATCAGCCTGAAGTTGAAAGGAGAGGAACTTGTCAGCGTAAAGGGATAGCCATATTTTCCCAAGGGAAATGACTGCTTGTGGGGGTGGGCAGGAGAATCTCAAATGTGCCTCCCCTGCACTTTCGTGTTCTCCCACTGTCCTTCTACTAACCTCCACCCACCTACCAGAGTAGGACAGGCTCACTGCTCTTCGGTAATTGTCCAGGACAGTGCAAGGGGCTTTGGAAAAAACACACTAGACAGAAGTCAGGGCCTGAGTTAAACCATTGCCTTGCCATATACTGGCTTTGTGACCCTGAGAATATAGCTGGTCTCTCTGTCCTCAGCTTCCCCAACTGTAAGCAGTGGAATTAGTAACCCATGTTTGCCCCTTGAAACCAGAGTACCATCCAGACACAAGGGAGAATGTTCCTGCCTGTTTGGGTTGATGTATCCTGCAGCAGGATGCTGAGATCCCAGAGGTAGGCACCTCAGAACCTGCCTTTGGGCTCCCCTGGGATAAATCTTGTTGATTGTGACCTTGGGAGAGTCATATATTCTCACTGCACTTCCTGCTCCCCATTTGTGACACCAATGCATAAAATAGCTCCCTGCGAAGACGAACTTGAGTATGCTTACACATCCTTGATTGAAGAGGCTGTACAAACAACATATTTGTATGTGTGTGTGCCTCTAGACATGTGCGTTCCCTTTCCAATGCCTGTGGAGAATCTTTTTCTTGAATGACCCGCTACCCCAGGGTTTCCCTCTTTTCAACCTCCAGCTCTTCACTCTGCTGGTCAGAGAACCTAGTCACCTGAAGGCCATGGTCACTCTAAGGAACTGCTGAGTCACTCTTGGGCAGAAAATTTACTGATTCATCTTCCTGACCTGCACCTGTCTGACTGTGGGGTCAAAGTCCTCTTCCCTGGTTACAGTGCATATTAATGAACTAATCAATATTATACATTGAGGCCATTTTAAGCAATTCCTTACAAGGGAGAGAGGGAAGGGAGCCAGCCAGCACCTGCTATGTGCTGCTAAGTGCACTGTAATGTATCATCTTGTTCAGCTCTCACAAAAAGCCTATGACTGTGATGGCCCTCGATGTCTCCCCATTCCTGTTTCAGAGCTTCCCAGTTGTGACCCAAACCTTCTGATGTGTATTAATTCATCTCCATCTTGACTTGTCTTCATTCTTTCATGCGTTTGAACCATGGTTTTCACATTAGTTCTCTCCCTTGCTCTGGCTTTGAAGAGCACGCTCGGGTAGTAGAGTACTATAAATTGCCATCTCTCTGCCTATTTTCCTCTGTCTCCGTTGGTGCTTGGGAGATTGACATCATTTCAAGGCCCTGATGGGTATCACCAATGCATAAGTTCATGCATACCTGAGGACTCTGGAATTCCACTTATTATTACCAAAAGAGCCCTCAACTTTGCAGTTTAAGAAACATTCTCACCAAGTGGGGAATATTCTTCCCCTCCTTGTTTTTGAGAGGAGAAGACTGAGGCTCAAAAAATAAAGGTTGTGCCACAATAGTAACTGTCGGGGCTGAGACCCAGGCCTTGGGTCTCCAAACCCAGAGTTTCTTGTCCAACCCGCAATGGCTGTCTAAATGGACATGGCCCCACCTGGGAGTACCAGGAGCCGAGTTAAGCTCCTATAACAGCTCTTTCTGCTGCAGAAGGACTTCAGAGGGAGACACAATCCATCTTCTCTGTGCTCGAGAGCATGGAAGGATACAATGTCGTCATGTCCTTCAACGTCAAGCCACAAAATTTAAAGGCAGAAGACGAGAAATTTCCACTCAGCTTCCATGTGTTCAAGGTAAGGCAGCCAACTTCAGGGCTTCCCCTTTCAGGACATTTGAGAGAGCAGCTGGCCAGGCTGGGAGAGTTCACTGAACCACAGCCTTGGAGATAAAACCCAAAGGGCTATGGAGTTCATCTGGTCCAACTCTAAATTTGCAGGAAAACCTGAGACAGAGAGGAAATTAGACTTGATGAAGTTTTCGGTGAGACACATCTCTTGCCCATGTCACTTGTCAGCATTTCCTGGCATGCTGCAGGCTCTAATGCTTGTTTCTCAAAGAGTAGTCTGACCCAAGATCAATTGTTATAATAAGGCAGATTCCTGGGACCATCCCAAACCTTCTGAATCCGAATCACCACGGACAGAACCTGAAAATCTGCATTGTCACGAGCTCCCCAGATGCTGTTTATGCACATGAAAGTTGGAGAATCATTGGTTAAACTTTGGAGGAGTTTAAGGAAAAACACAATCCTGGTATAAAGCCAGGAGGTATGTTTTTCTCTTATATTTAGACCAAAGTCCAGTCAGCTCGGCGGTTGGTTTGCAAGCATCTGCTTGGCCACTAATCCAGCACCAGGTTTCCCTCTCCACCCAGCCTCCCCTCTCCTCTCATGGCACTCTCAACCAGCTTTTCAGCTCCTGAGGGGCCATCCCCTACCACCACACCTGTACCTACCCCAATTGAGAGTAGGTAATCCGGGGATTCATTTTTTTTTTAAACTACCACTTAAAAGAGTTATGAAAGAAAATCTGATACCTCTGCTCCTTCCTCCTCCCAAATAATTTGACACATCCCAAAGATAAAGCGAATGGTTCTCAAATCATATACCCCACAGCCTCTCTGCACCGATGTGGTGAACTAAGATCATGCAACCATCACATGCTGGGGTCCCCTCTCCTCATGTTAGAGTTGAGGAAACTGAGGCCCAGCAAGGTGAAGTGACACGGTTAGAGTTAATGGCAGAGCTGGGGACTGGGCACCAGGTGTCCCCTAAGCCTTCAGTTAAATATACCCTCTCTGGTGGAGCTCTGATCATAGCATCTCCAGGAATGATCTCAGTTTCTGTTCACTGAGACTAAGGCAACATTCGCAACCATGATTCTTAGCCCATATGGACAGGTGGGGCTCCTAGGTACACCAGTCGTGGCAGGGCAGTCCTGGACGCTGGCTGTGGTTCACTCTAATAAGAAGGCCTCACTGATATAGTCTTTCAGAGTTCCAAGCACCTTCACATTCATTGTCTCAAAAACCCTAGTATCCCCATTTTTATAGATGTGGAAGCCAAAGCTCAGAGATCAAGAATGGCCTGTCCAAGTTGCAGCTAGGAGGTGACAGGGCATTGCTTGATACCAGAACTCATGGCCCCAGGTCCAGGGCTTTCAGCTGGGCTCACACACTTGCGTTTCTGGTGATGCTCACAGCTCAAGGAAAAACAGTGACTATGGCTCTAGAAGGAGAAGAATCTTCTGGGTTCTGCTCTCTGAGCACATTTCCACTTCCTAGTTACATGAACTCAATGGAAGAGAAATTTTTGGGATTTAGCACAATACTTTTGAGGTACCTCGAACCTGCTTAGATTATCAAAGAACATCTAAGGATGCAGTAGTGGACAATCGTCATTTTTATCACCACCAGGCACCTGAACACTCTTCCACTTGGTGGAAGGCAGGGCCTAGTCTCCCACTGCAGCAGCCAAAGAGGCCAAATATTCCCTCTCCCCAGCCCTTGGAGGCAAAGGGGTAGATTGGTGTCCCAGTCTTGTCCAATTAGATGCTCCCCTCAGCCCACCCCACCACACACAGTCTCGGTCACTCTGGGCTTTGACTCTTGAGGAAGTAACTATAAGGTAGGACCAGCCAAGGGATTATTTGCAGCAAATCTTTGGGCCCAGCAGCAGTAATACAGGCAGAGCCCGTGGTGGTGTCCAGCTGTGTTGCCACATCTTCTGGTTCCTACACATTTTCCAAGCTGCATTCTCTAGACTTCTCATTGACCCTGTAAGCTATCCTTCCCATAAATTATGTTCTGCTCACCCCACCCTTGGTTGGTTTCCATTGCTCTCAGCCAAGAATCCCAACTGATTCAAGTGCCTTCTAAGAAGCCCCTCATCCTCAGAGTCCCCCAACTCTCACCTCTGAAAAGAATTGGAGGAAAGGAGTTAGGAAGGGCTGGAAAAGAATTGAGGCATCTGGTCTACCGAGCCAGATTTACACAGTTCAGGGCACCAGAGAGGACAAGACCAGACAATGTCTCAGCCAACTCTTCCCTTTCCTAATGAGAGACAGAAGCACAGAGAAGGTATGAGGGCTGCTCCAGTACGCAACTCCTGGGGGTGCTGTTCACATTGTCATCTATGAGCCTGGTGCCCCAGAGCTGGGCAACGAAGCAGCTTTGTGTTAAATAATTTGCCCAAAGTCTTTATAGTTCAGAAGCCCTGGAAAGATTGTAATCACATGTTTTTTAAGTGCTGCAAGGCCCATTTCTCTACTTTTCAGTCAAAGATGCATTATTTCTCAGCTGCCCACTTTTCTTAGGGGCACTCAGATCCGAGATCTCCTCAGGGTCCTTGGAGATCCCACTGGGTCTTGCAGGATCCTGATCAAGTAAAATGCCAAAGAAGAGTGCAGATCTTGAAAACTGAAGAGATGCTTCCGTTCATTTCACAGTTCAGCTGAGAAACAGGCTATGGTGTGAGGCCAGCCCGCAGACTCTCGGAAGTCTCCAGGGCTCTGGTGGTGTTAGTGGGTGCAGTGCTGTCCAGATGACAGCTGCGTTTAGTGCTCTGGGCCTCTGTGGGCCTGTGACTCCCCAACTGCTATGGGAACACTGCTTTGCCTTGCAACAAACCAAACATAGGTGGTGTACAAATAGGCAGGGAGAAGACAGGACAGAGAAAAAGGGCAAGGGTGGACGAGCCATTTCATCCTCACCCCAAAGCTCCTCCCCAAGGCTGGGACTTTCCACCTCCCTCCTAGTTCACCCCTGGTCTGCAGAGAAGTCTACCTAGGCAAATCGAGTGGTCCTGGTGGGGACCAGGATCAGCAATGAAAAGAACTAAAAGCCACCCCAATGGTGGAAGACAGTGCCTGTAATTACAAAGGAAGCAACACAGCTTGCTGTGTTCTCACCTCTGCTGCTTGGACTGCTGAGCCTCAGTTTCCACATCCATAAAATATAGAGCCTAGCGTCTGCTTGCAGGATTACCGTGACAATCCAACGCATTTCACAGAAGCACTTTGCAAACTGTGGAATGGCTTAAAAATGGGACTGCATCCTCGGTGCTTCCTTCTGCCACGCGGAAAGACTGGGACATAGGTATTTCCCCATTCAGACACGCACATACAGTCCTTTCAAACCCTGGGGGGCCTAGAACAAATTCCTATCGTATTTTGCAGTGGTCTAATGGACTAAGGAAGTTTTCTTCTTATCAGAGCTCCTGATATTGGGGAATTTCCATTGGTCCAGGTTTTGCTTTACATCCAGGCCCCATCAGTATCTGACTTCTCCCAATTTTATCATCATTGCTGTAAAGAGTACCCACAGCTGGCTGAGCTGATGAAGGGACAGTCTCCTTCTCCCAGACACCCTCTTCCCCTCCCTGATTTCCTTCCCCTCCGTGCTCCCTACCATGGGTTAGGTTTCCTTTTTCAGAGCTCCACACAGGGAATGAGTAACCATCCCCGTTCACCCCAGGGGGTGCAAGGGAACAGGCTGAATGTTCAAGAAGAAGGAAGGCAGGGCCCTGAGCCAGGCTGCCCGGATCCGCTCACTTTCGTGTTTTGGTTTGGGTTCCTGAACGTGTTTTTTTTCTTCTTCTCCACAGATTGACCCTCAGGTATGGCTCACGGCAGCCCTCACTGGGCTTCTCACACCTCTCTTGTCATCCGTCCTCTTCCAGCACCCGTGGCCTTGATGCATCTCTCGCTGTTTGGTGGCTGCAAATTCGGTCTGCTATGTGCTGTAACAGATACCAGCTTAGACTATCCAAATAGGTCAATGGTGCGGGACACATTTTAGCCGTCCTGGTCTAAAGACTGACCCCCAAGGGCTGCTCCCTAGTTTGACATTCCAAGAGGGGCTGCAGCCGTGAAACCATCTTCAAGCATTTGGCCTCTAATAGATAACACTATGCAGCCAGTTCCTTTTTTAAAAAAGTTATGTTATTGAAGTCATATTGGTTATGACATTGTGTAAATTTCAGGTGTACATTATTTTATATCAGTTTCTGTTTAGACTGCATCATGCTCACCACCAATAATCTAGTTTTTATCTGTCACCTCATGTGCCTCTTTAGCTCTTTTGCCCTTCCCCACCCCCTTCCCATCTGACAACCATTAACCTGTTCTCCTTATCCATGTGTTTGTTTATCTTCCACATATGAGTGAAATCATACATGATTCTTATTTCTCTTAACATAATACCCTCAAGGTCCATCCATGTTGTTGCAAATGGCATAATTTTGTCTTTTTATTGCTAAGTAGTATTCCAGTGTGCCTGTGTGTGTGTATGTGTGTATATGTATACCACATCTTCTTTATCCATTCATCTGTCGATGGACCCTTGGGTTACTTCTACATCTTGGTTGTTGTAAATGATGCTGCCATAAACATAGGGATACATAAATCTTTTTGAATTATCGATTTCATGTTCTTTAGATAAATACCCAGTAGTGAAATAGCTGGATCTTATGGTATTTCTATTTTTAATTTTTTGAGGAATTTCTATACTGTTTTCCATAGTGGTTGAAAGAGATTCAGGGCTAATCAAGGTCCCTTGGTAGGATCTTTAACCTCTCATATTCTTTGTCAGCTCCCAAATACCCCACAGCCTGGATGCACACTGTGCAAATGCAATTTCAAGGCACATCCTTTAGCTTCTTTTACAACCAAACTGCCACCCATCATAAGTAGATATTCTGGCTTGGCACTGGTGATATGTGAGTAAGGATGGAGAAGGACAGGTAGAGTTTGAGAAGCTTGACCTCACAGGCACTCAGACTCCTTTAGTGGAGGTGGGCTCTGTTGGGCTGTCGTTGCCAAGTGGAGGCATGTGTGTGGGGACCAAGGATGGAACAGAGGGAGCGGGATGTAGCCACAGCCAACAGGTGGTGACTGTAGCATGCTAGTGGGTCCGGGGAAGCTCCTCCAGGCCTTCCAGGGTGCCCTAGCAGGTAGACAGAGGCCAGACGGGTATCTCTGAGCAGGAGATACTCAGAAGCCTGGGCAAGAAGCAGACAGCAAGGAGGCCTCTCTGTCACAGCAGAGGCCCAACCACAGAGCTGGGTTTATGATCTGACTCTTGTGCCTGGCACCCCAGTCATGGAAGTGGAACTTCCAGAAGGGTTTCAAGGGAAGCACTCAGGTGCAAGGAACAAGTTGGTGTTGTAGTTCCCAGAGCTGGAGAATGAGGTAGAGACTTGATCCAGAAGAGGCACAAGCCCCATCCCTAGACCTACAGGGTCGGGTCTGTGGACGACTAGCTTTATGTCAGTTTGTCACTGGGTCTTCTGAGCCCTGAACCAAGAAGCTCTTGTCATGCCCCTATACTCACACTTCTTGATGCCAGTGAGTAAGTCTGTTCTGAAGGATCAGGAGCGTGGACAGGGCCACGAGGGTCCAATGGAGGGCAGGAGAGCAGGGAAATCCTTATCTTCTAGATTGTAGGAGGCACGATGCCCACACACCTTGTCACACGCACTGTCTACCCATGTGCAGGTGTGCATGCACACACACATGCACCCAGAGCCACGGGACAGTGCTGACTCTCTGGAGAAGGACCAATCTCATCATTGCTTTTGCCAGAAGTGCCCAAGCAAGCCAGGCTCCAGACAGACCAGTGCTGCAGAATCACCTCAAAGGTTGCCCATGGCCCCCTGCTACATATCTGGGACAGTGGCCTCTCTCCTGTCTCCCCTTGTACCCAGCCCTGTCCCCAACCCCTGAAAAGAAACTCTTCCCTTCTCCCTATTTTTCCCCAAGGCAGAGCTCACAAAGAATCATTTCACACTGCGTAATCATTCTAAATGGAACCACCATCTCGATGATATTGGGGAAAATTTATTTAGTAAGGGGGTTTTATTATGTAATATATATGTGACATTCGGTAATAGGAACTGCATTATATTTATTGTTTTATCTCTAAGAAAATATTGAAATAAAAGGAAAGTGATCAGGGCCTATTATTCTCCGATGAGAAGGAATTTCAGGGCTCTGCTGGAAAGATGGAATGGAGGAAGTGGAGAGTGCAACTCCGCAGCGCTGCAGCATCCAGAGAGTGCTTTTGCAAAAGGGTCAGGAGAGAAGGGGCTTTAGAGGCTCCCAAAGTAATTCCGTGTTGCAACAATCTCACTAGTTTTCATGGAAGTCTTCTTTATATACAAGCGGAGAGATAAACCCAAAAACCCAGGATGCTGTTAGATTTAATGAGGTAAAACCGTGTCATATTTCTTTGCATTCATTGTAGTGTTAGCATCTAGAGTAAATAACAGTCTAAACTCTGTTGCATCTTGAGAGTTCAGGTAAGCACTGTCTCCCTTTCTAGGGCCTGTAATGCTGTTTTGGTGAACGGGGAGGGGTCTGGAAGGTGGTGGGTGGCTGGGGCACATGCACACCGGGGCTTTCTCACCATCCTCTGTTTCTTTTAGTTCCAGCACTTCAAGAAGTTGCCGCCCACATTTTTTTCCCGGTTCAGAAATGCTGACATTTCTGTCAAAGTTTCTGAAACTATGTGCAACCTCACGAAGTGCTTCAGTCTGAACCCTGGGACCTATGTAGTGGCTGCCACTGCACACACAGAAGCAGTTGATTTCCTGCTCCGAATCTTCCTGAAAATGCCAGATAGTGACAGGTATAGAACCTCTGGGATTGTAAATGTTTTTACTGAATTTTATAAAAGCACATTGCATCATTCTGGGCAGCACATACTGTCTGAGGGGTATGCAGCACCGGCCCCTCTTTCGGGAAGCTCACCACAAAGGGAGGTGAGAAAGTTCGTGCGCCAGTAACTAGACCACAAACAGGATGCAGCCATTGCTATATGGAAATGCAGAGTCGCATGGGAGGACAGAGTAGAGGGACACACCTATGGCAAGAGGGACCGAGGGAGGCTTCTTGGAGGAAAAGACCTTTGAGCTAATCCTTGATGGAAAACATAATTTATCATCTCAAAGAGGAAGGCAATGCAGCTGGAAGAAAAAAGCTTGAACAGAAGCAGGGAAGTGGGTGAGCACAGGGCTTGTTGAAGAATAAGTGATATCGGCTATATGCACAGGAAGGTGGTACACGCCATGCACAGCAACTGTCTGAAATGTGGCCAGAACTTAGAGTGCATCAGGGAGACAGTGAAAGATGGGCCTGAGTGATACAGTCTGATCATGGAGGGTCTTTGGTGCCAAGACAATGGTCAAGACTGAGATCAGCAAGTATATACCCTGCTGGGTACTTCATCCCCTTTTGGAATTGAGGCAGACATCACCATAATCATGGCAGTCTTTACAGTTGAGCATGGATGAGAGCTTATTAGTCCAGCATGCCAGACAGCCACTGTGCCACCAATCAGAGTTGGAACATAGGACAGAGCTTATCTGCCATCCTGGCAATGGGAGTCACTGGTTGTGAAAGGAACAATTTACTAAATGGTTTGAAGACTAGATGATGTCTACCCAAAAAGACTGGACTTGTGGTCGTGATGCTTGTATGCTGACTACTGTGGCTGCCCACTTCACATCCTGCTGTGCTGAGGGCTCTCTGCTCAGGTCCTTGGCATAAATGTCCAATGCCACCTAGGTTGCCTTCCATATGTAAGCCTCCTTTGAATAGTAAGCTGGTCATCTTTGTCACACTGTCTTCCTGATTTTCTAGGCACTTGGGCAGCAATTTCCATCTCAGACCATTGAAGGTAGGTGTTTGGCAAGGTTTGGTTGGCACGCTTCATTGGCCACATCCCATCCCTAAGAGCTTCTGTCCTTCCCTCTTGCCTCCCCACTGACCAATGAAAGCAGAGACACAACCAGTCGATGATGGCTCAAAGATACAGGGTGGAGGGGAGACCAGGCCTCCAAGACCAGGCTGGATCCAACCATCTTCCTTCCACGAACTTCCATTTTCCCATTCCCCTAAAAGTTTTATCTGATTACTGGATGAACCTTTTGTCTCAGATCCAGGTGGGGGGTTCTTGTGCCCTCATTATACCTTACAGGTGGCCTCCTTCCCCAGAAATTTGATGTTGGCTATTTTCTCTTTGATCCAGCCAAGTCTTCCAGAAAATGGCTTCCAACAAAGAATTTTCTACAAATATGCTCATCAGGTACAGTACTTAGCAGGGGACAGGTGAGGAGGGACCAGAGGGAAGGAAACCTCTCCCAAGCCCTTATCAGGATACAGAGAGGAAAGGTGACTTGATGGGTCATTTTATCAGCCTCTCTCCCTGGATGTCTCCAGAACTGATCTGGCTACAAAACTCTGGAGAGAAGTGGTGCCCCACTTGGGTGACATCTGGGATGGAATGTAGAGCTTGGAAAGGGAGGAGCTAATTATGGGGTGTGAGAGAGAGACAGACAGACAGAGAGCTTTTTAAATCTTTAAACAGGCAATTGGCAATACCCCTTGAAATTTTTCCTTCTCCCACTCTGCTGCCTTGCACCAACCTTGGCATCATCCCTCCCGGGAGCTGGCCAGCTTCAGAAAGCACCAACAGTCTTCTTCCTGCCAAGCCACCTATGTGCACAGGGGATTTTCTTAATGGTTTAATAAACCATTATAAAGAAATCCTTGACTTGTCAGTATAAAAACAGCTGCCAAGGGCTCTGCACAATGGACCTTTTACCATTGATACAGACAGTTGTGTGTACCATGCCAGCCTTGGGCCAGCAGAGGCCAAGGACAGGAAGGACACCAGGGCTTCAGAGGACTAATGGGGCAGTCATAACCAGGAGGCAGCCCAAAGGGAAATTATTCAGGCAGCCTTGGCCCAGAGGACAAAATAGAGAAAAATGAAGAATGTGGCTGGCATGAGGGGTACATATTGCGAGGAGCAGCTCAGTATGGACCTCCTTGAAATCATTATTGGCCCAAGATTCAGGTCCACATCTGGGCTGATACAGAAGGCCCTTTACTTGATGCAGGACAAGGTCTGCCAAGATGATTGTCCCCAAGATGATGTTGTATGCATCCCTTGTCCCCAGTACCTATCACTACCCTTGGCACAGAAAAGGTACTCAATCAATTTGCATTGAATTAAGACAGGTTAGCTTCCCCGGAGCAAATGCCCAAGCTAAGGTTACTGAGCTGAGGTGATCAGCAGGACCTGATTAGGATACCTGAGACCCAGCTTCCTTCAGGGGCAGGTAGTAAAGTGCTCAACAAGGTCCATGCCCCTGCACATCTGAAATAAAAAATATAATTTTTATATCCTCCTAGACGGCAACTGTAAGCCCATATGGGGCTTTTGTAGGAATTAGGATGAGACACAGATGCAGCTTTGTGCCAGGGTGCATGGCTGGGAAGTGGAACATGGACTGAACTCAACACCCTTTTTAGCCCTCGGCCAGGAACCCTTGAGCAGGGCCAACCTAGCATCATTTTGCACAACCTGAAAACTGTTGTCAGAGGTTGTGTCCTTGAAGGAAATGTGAAAGCAGAATATTCGTGCATGCGCTCCCTGTGTCCCCTCTCCTCATCTCTTGTGCCATTTAACTAGCCTTAAGTGAACACAAAGACTGCTTCCCGCTGCTACCAGGATCATGAGCTACCTTCATGTTTGTAGTGGTGGTGATGGTTCCATAACCCAGGGTCTGCCTGTGGGGAAGGAAGGACTCATTCAACCTCCAGGACAGGCCAAGTCTATCCTGCATCATTTCTTCAATTGGCAAACACGTACCAGATACCTAGGTCATTGCAAGTACCATGCTGAGCTTTGGGAATGCAAACATCAATCCTTGGGGATCTTACATTGAGCTGGTAGAGGCAAACGTGAAATTCTTTGGGAATTTGTTTATCTTCATTCCTATCCTCTTCTCCTCAAATATTTTCTTGGTTACCAGGTTCAGGGTCCAGGTCAGGGGCTGTCCTAGGGTGGGGGACGCGCAGAAGGAAGGAGACATGGTCCATGCCCAAAGATGCGTATATTCTAGTTGCTGACTCCATGTAAGTTAGTTCCTCACCAACATGTCAACTGCTCTTCAAATTGAGGTGCTGTGATTCTTTCAAGAAAAAAAATCAGTGAGGTGGGCACACAGCACCAACTTCCCTGACATAACCAACCAGTGAGACCTGAGGGCCAGTTTTAGACACTGGCGGGATGTGGTTCTCAAAGGGCATCCTGAGGGGTCGTCCTAGTTGAAGGACTCATCTAAAGACAGGCCGTAAGGCCACTTTTGCTTTCAGTTCTATGTGGGGAGGCCAACCCTGTGGACAGAGTGGCTGCTGGGAGACCTCACGCCAGCTCCTTCCACCATATAAAAGCTTTCCCAGGGTGATGATGTCGCGTCATCCCCTCAGCTTTTACCAGGCTCGATGTAAGAACAAGCAGCATATAGAAACAGCTCTCTTCTCTGTCAAGTTGTCATAGAAGATGCTGTCCATGAAGCTGCTCAGTGTCCCCAGGAGAAAATTGGATGCAGTTAACACCTCCAGAAGCTCAGACTAGCAAGAGTTTTTCTCCTCTCAACTTCAATTGCTTCTTTTTTGTAATCCCAGGAAGACCATGATGTCTCCCTTTTTGTTTCAGTGGCTGAGAAGACTAATGCTAAGTATGTGCTCAATTAGAGCAGCTTCTCTTAGCCTAGGTTCCTGGCATTTTTATCACCTGTCACCACACACACACACACACACACACACACACACACACACACATACACATACATATACACACACATTCTCAGTAGGCATATTTTCTCTTAGTCTCTTTCTGGAAGCAGATGGGGAAACATACCTTCAGGGCTGAATTGATTCATTCAACAATATTTCTCTGAAGTGCCAGGTACGAGGCCAGTGAGGGGGAACAAACGCTACTTTCAGTCCAATAACAAATGAAGAGATAATGCCACGTGGCCACACAGGATCTCCAGTGTCAGGAGTGATCAGCACTACAGACGTCCAGGGGAGGGAGTTGTCACCCTGGCCTGGAGCAATCAGGAAGGGCTTCTTGGCAGTGGTGAGGGGCCACAGTGGGCACAAGTGCTCTTACAAAGGCAGGCAGGTGCGCCCCTCAGCTCCTGGGGGCTGATGCGATCCCTGCATTCCTCCTTCGTTTGGATCAGGGACTGGACATTGATGCCACCCAGCTTCAGGGCCTTCTCAACCAGGAATTCCTGAAAGGTAAGGACCTGCTGGCCCCAGCCTCATCTTCACTGCCAAGCCAGTCCAATGTCGCCCTCCTGACATTTCTGTCCTTCCTATTCTCCCCCCTCAGGACCTCCAGGGGACACTTTCTCCTTGGATGAGTGCCGGAGCATCGTAGCCCTGATGGATGTATCCTTTGCCATCATCCCCCCTGCCCCTTCCCCAGCCCTGAGGGCCCATCTGCTCAGTGGGCTTCCCCAGGGGTCTAATTAGGACGTTAGAGAATCCTGTTCTCACTCTCAAGGTTTCTCTTTTGCCTTGGTTCCAAGGCCTCACCATAGAGCCTGGGTTTCTGTGGGTTCTATACTGACTCACTAACTCTCCAGGACAACCACAGCAAAAACGACAGTAGTGACCATCTATCAAGCGTCTACTGTGTGCCAAGAACTGTACTGGTATATATATTTTTTTTCTTTGTAATTTTCACAACAACCCCTGTGATAAGTATTATCCAATCATACAATTAAACAATCAGGGTTCAAAGAGGTTAGGTAATTTGCCCAGATCATGCAGCTAGTCAGAATTTGCTCCTGGATTTGAAGTTGGAATTTTCAGCCTTCAAAGTCTATGTTCAACATTATCCTACACTGCCTCCTAGTAGCACCACTGGGAATTATTCTCCTTCCACCCGTCCCCTTGCCCCTGGTGGAGTCTTCGCTATTTAAATTCCTTGTTCAACAAGCCCCCAATTCAATAAAGACAACAACCACCGAAACTTGTAGAAAACTCCTCGGTCTACACAGTAGTTGCACCTCATTATTACTAGTTTGCTGCATTTGCAGGTGAGCAGACTGGGGTTGGAACAGTCCAGTGACTTGTCCAAGTTCCATGGCCACAAGTGGCAGGGCTCCTAACTGCCATCCTGACTTCCTCTCTCCCATGAGCCACTTCTTCCCCCACCTGCCACGTCTCCTGATGGGCAGGCAGGAGAGACTAGCCCCATGTGTGCATAACCCCAGCTGCCACCTTCTAGCTCTTCACTCGGGTGTGTGCTGTCTCCTGGGAGCAAGACAGATCCCCCGGCTCTTCACACTTAACAAGACTCCATTGGAAATGTGAAGCCAGCCATTGTAGAACAAGAGGGCTTCTTGAGGAAATCATGAATCAGGTGCTGTCTCTGCTGGCAGTGGTTTGGGATCACTCAGAGACACTGCCCTTCCTTGCCAGATGAAACAAAATAGCCTGTGGCAGGTGACCCTCGGGGAGGTCAGGCCTGCCAGACCCCTGCAGAGCGGACAGGCCTTTTCTACCTCTAGTTCCTTAGAGACTGATTCTTTTCCTTTCATTAGTTCTCATTAAACCCATGACACAGAGTGACCAAGGCTGGCTTCATACACAGAACACATTCCATCCACTCGCCTGCATTCACTTCTCGTGCTGCCTCCAGAGGTGCAATGACCCCCTCAAGCTTCTCCCCACTCTCCCTGCCAGCAGCCCCACTCCAACTGGTGAAGGCTGAGTTTTGGTCTCTCTCTCTTCCTCTGGATGCAAGTGATGTTGGCCCTCCTTTCTCAGGGCTTCTGTCTCCTTCCAATTGTTCATTTTTCCTTGTAAAATAAATCTAAGGCAGGTCCTTTCAGACACAGTGGGAGCCAGCTGGCTTGGGGCCACATCCAGGTGACGTTGGACCAACTGTTACTAGTTGATGGATGGAGCTGCTCCTGCTTGCTGGGCTGGCAGGACCTGCAGCCCCTCTACTCACTGCACACTGGACTGGTTAACTCTTAACTCCCCAGCAGCTGAAAGTGAATGGGAGGCTTGACCAAGATGAGTTTTCAAGGCTGTGGAGGCGTCTTGTCCACTACCAGGTACTGGCATGTTCTCTTTTGACTAGCACCCTCATCTGTCCAATTTAGCAAATAGTCACTGGGTGCGCAACACTGCACTAGGGTTGAGGGGTAGGAAAGAAGAGAAAACTCACCCCTACCCTCAAGGAGAGCTCCCATTTTGTTTGCGGAAACGTATATGCCCAACTAGGAGCACCAGGCAATGCCCGATCAAGTGGCGGGATGAGGAGCACTCCAGGAGGCTGAAGCAGAGAGGGGTCACCGTGACCTATAGCTAAAACTGCCAGCAAGCACTGCCCTTCTCCTTCCTACCCCTCTCCTTCCTCGCCCCACCACCGCAACATCCCCCTAACCACTGGTTCATCTCATTCCCTTCCCATCCATCTGCCAGAACATGCTGCAAAACCACAGATGTGGTCTGTGGCCTCCCCGTTGTTCTCAGGACAAAGTCCAAACTCACCAGAGCTGTGCACAAGATCCTCTGAGCTGGGACCCTACTGTGGGGTCCAGGAGAAACCCCTTCACTCATCCCACTCATTCCTTCAGACCCCAACTATGAGACTCCTCACTGTCCCCTCCCTGTACTCCGAGCCTGGCCAGGGCCCACCCACCCTGAGAGTCTGGCCTCAGATGCACCTTCCCTGTGGGGCCTCCCTTCAGCCCTTGCCTACCCCCAAGGCCCAGTTAGTTCGTCCTTCAGCTCCTAACAACAACCCACAATAAAAAAATAAAGTGTTCCTGTGTGGCTCTACCAGCGTGTGTCACCTAATCCCTGACTTGGGATCATTTGGCTTCTGACACGGTACTGCAATGGCTGACATGTCCCCCCCCCATTAGATTGCAGGGTCCTCCAGGACATCCTCTTCAAGGTGGGCACTGGGACTCACATGGGCTTCTTGCTTCTTTTCCTATTTCAGAGTGTTTTCCAGAACACCCAGGAGAACTCTGGAGTTTTCCTGAGCCAGGATTTGTGGAAGACCATAAAAGCTACAGGTAAAGCAGGGGACCTTTTGAGCCATGCTGATTGGAGGCTGCGGGTTGTGTGTGTATGTGATGCCCACTCCCCTGGCATGCTGTAGGCAAGGCTGGTGCAGTGATGCTGGGCAGTCTGGAGAAAGCAGAGCTGCAGCTTCTGCATCCTCTGGTTACAGGGGCCTTTGCGGGCCTCCAGGCTCCGGACTCAGACTCCATCCTCCTCCGCCTGAGTTCTCATGTGTCAGTCAATTTTCCCAATTTCCTTTTCTCCCCAGCACAGCTCTAATTGTGAGAAAATAACCCTGCCTGATTGATAGCCTAACAGAAATCGCACTTGCCTTCGAGACACTTCCATCTCAGCATCTGGGCCATCAGGGTTAAATACCCTTGGGCGGGCTGATGTGCTCTCTTCACAGAGGGTTTTGGGCTAAATGAAATCAAATGGCATCTGTCGGCTTCGAGTAGGCAAAAGCTTTCAGTCCTGGAATAATGATCATAATACCATAGGGTGCAAAAGTGCTTCCTAGTTGAGCAAGAACTTGTTCCCACATCATCTCACTTGAATGTCTCGGCTCCTCTGCAAACCTGGAAGGGCAGGAATCATTATCTCACTGTACCATGGGGAGAAATGGATTACAAAAAGTTAAGTGAGGAAATTGCCACCTTCCTTAATAAAATCTAAAATCAGGGGCCAGCCTGGTGGCATAGTGGTTAGGTGTGCACGCTCTGCTTTGGCCTCCGCAGGTTCGCAGGTTCACAGGTTCCGATCCTGGGCATGGACTTAGTGCTGCTCATCAAGCCACACTGTGGCAGCATTCCCCATAAAATAGAGGAAGATTGTCACAGATGTTAGCTCAGCAACAATCTTCCTCAAGCAAAAAGAAGAAGATTGGCAACAGCTGTTAGCTCGGGGCCAATCTTCCTCACACACACAAAAAAAATCTAAAATCAGATTCCCCCAGGTTACCACAAGAATAATTCTCCCTCTTGTGGCTCCAGCGGGTGGAAACATGGCCTGCTGCTCCCCACTTTAGCATATTTCCTGCCCTTAATTCTTCATAGCAGAGGGCTGGGGTTCTCAAACTCGAGCGTGCATCAGAACTCCCTGGAGGCTTGTTAAAGCACAGACTGATGAGCCTCACCATCCACCCAAAGTCTCCGATCCAGGAGGGTTGGGGGAGGGCTGGGGTGGGGTTCAAGAATTTGCATTTCTAAGTTCCCATGCTCCTGGTCTGAGGACCACACTGAGAACCACTGAATAGCCAGTGAATGATGAAATCTTTAAAGGAGATCTCACTAATGACTCCAGCATAATGAAAGGCAGAAAGATAGAGAATAGTTGGAGTTCAACTCAAAAGCCTTCAGGCACCAGGCAGGTAACCGAAAGGGGTAATGGAGCTAACCCAAGAAAAGAGGGTTATTTGGGAATGTGGCAAGCTGGGGAGTCGTGCCCTGTCGAAAGGCATTCAATTCACATGTTATTAACTCTGCTGGAGAAACCAAGCATTCCCCTGGCTGCATCCCCTGGATGGGTGGTTTGACCTGGAAGGTTCCGCTGGCCTCCCAGAGCTTACAGGCCCGACTGTGCCAGCCTGCTGTTGTCTACTAGGTGGTGGATGCCTCCCTAAAGCTTATGACTAGACGTGCAAGACGACAGGGTCCAAAGAGGGAAAGCCACCTCTGGCCTGCCCCCTGGAGGCCATCTGCTGAGTTGTGGTCTCCCCTCGGAGGACTGACCTCTTCACTGGATGACTGACTTAGGACTGAATCCCCCTTTTCCAGGAACCACACTTGCCCACACAGGCAGCATCCACACCTAAGACCCACAGACAGTCATGGGGTTGGGGAAGAAGGTTGTTTTACAAGGTCACCAGTAGAGGGAGGCCTGAGAGAAGCGGGGCTGGGACAAGCCCCAGGTGTCCTGGCAGCTCCCACCCACAGGGAAATTATCAGATGATGATGAAGGCTGATGTGTCCCCAGAACAGTGTTGTTGGGGCCCAGCAGCCAACAAGAAAGAGGCAGCTGGAGAATCAACATCACTGCAGAGGAGCGGATTGGCCCCCGCACCAGGCTGAGGAGGAAATGGTGGTGGGAGGCCCCTAGGCCCTCTGAACCGGTTTCTCAGACCTTGGAAGGCAGAGGCGCACACCACCCCGGCCTCCTCCCTGCTCACTGGCTCACTCTGTGGTCCAGACTTTCTTGCAGAGGTCTCCATCAGCGATGAGCTGCTGGACCTCATGGCTCTCCGGTACAGTGACGGTGCTGGCAGGATCAGCTTCCCCAGCCTGGTCTGCTTCCTGATGCGGCTTGAAGTCATGGCAAGTAAGTGTCACCTGCAAGACATCCTGAGACCTTCACAGTCACCAAAGAAAGCTCCAGGAAAGGACCAGGAATGCACTCCTGCCCCAGGCCTGGGCAAGGGTAGTAGGCTGGACTGGAGTCCTGTGCGAGGAGCCCCTGCCCCAAGAGACAGGGCCAACGTGAGCCCACGTAATGGTGTAGTTGACGTGTGTCCCCGGCATCCCTTATGCACCCTTCTCTCCCCAGGACGTTCCCCTGTCCAGCCTCCCATCTGCTCCTCCATCTTCAATGCCTCTTTCAGGAACAGGGTTAAATCACTGTGTCCCCTGTCCAGATGGTGTTCAGGGTTTACACCTGCTCTTCAGTCACAGTGAATGGTTTGGGTCTCTGCTGAAGGGATTGCATGCCAGAGCGAAGAGGTGGGGGCTGGAGGTCTTTCCCAAGGCTTCAGAAATCCAACTCTGTAGGCCAGAAGTTTTGACATGTTTTAGCATCATACTCCTTTGTTTTAAATGAAAGTTTATGTAATGGAGCTGCTGTGGTTGAGGTAGAAGTGGGATCTGGCCTCCACTCTAATCCTCGCCCCGTCCCTGGCATGAGGCACCTCTGTAAACCCGGCAGCTCTGGGCTGGCAATCAACAAAGATTGAAAGAACGGAGCCCTAGGAAGGTAAAAGAGGAGCCTGAGGCATCAACCTTGTTCCAGAGAGTTCTCAGCTGGACAAAGGACGTTCCTCAAACTGTTCCCCTGAGATACTTCCTAAGACAAGCCCACACATCCCCACATCAAGTGTAGAGGGATGCACAGTGCAAGGAAAGGGAAGAGAGAGAGGGATGTGAGGGCCAGAGCCGTCAACAGGAGCTCTTTGGAAGAGGCGAGCCCTGAGATGTCCCTGTAGGGTTTGGCTGCAAGGAGACAAGGAGGGGAGGCAGGTACGCTCTGTGGAGAGTGAGAAAGTGGTTTACACAACATCCCCACCTTTGCTTGGATCTTCACATCGGCCCAGGCCTGCCTCCCATGGCTTGGCCTGATTCTTTTCTTCCTCTCTACCCTAGAGGCTTTCCAGAAGCTATCCACAGATGGAGAAGGACTCTACCTGACAAAAAGGGAGGTGAGCTACCTTCCCTTCCTAGAGATAGGGCACAGCCCCAGGCTACCTCTCCTCATCTGATTCCAGGGGGCATTTTTCTCCCTGAGGATATTGAACAGGCTGTCAAAGGCCAGCCAAGCTGCTGGCCCCCCTGCCTCCAATTATTGCCTTTATATATTGCTCTCTGCCAAGGCTGCTTTAGGATCTTGGCAGACAGATTTTATTTTTTTCCAATAGCTTAATAAAGCAGAGGATTATGTGGGAGTAATAAATCCAAGCGGGAACTGAAGAACACCCGCTTAGCTCGCTGTACGTTAAACTTACTCCTATTGAGTTTTAGAAAGAGCTTCCTGGCCCAGCCAGCTGGTCGACCTCAGCTACCCCTCTCACTGCCTGGCTATTCAGGGGGTAGCAGAAGATAGGCTGTGACGGCGGCTGAGACCTTTTGCTTGTGTTGGAATTATCTGGAAAGGGTTGATGAGAATAGAGTGAGATCTTTCAAGGGAGGAAGGTACCATTTGCCCTGCTGTGTATTAAGCTAACAAATTTAAAAATGGGTTGTAATGACGATGCTTATTTCTCAGTGGATGAACCTGGTCATGTACAACTGAGCAAGGGGAAGAGCAGACTCCAGAGTCCAGGTAAGATATGGCGGCTTTAGAATCATTTTCTTATGGGGGTAAAATTTCCTTTCTCCTCCAGGAACTGCCCATAAGACTGTCTCTGGGAACAGCCTCCCCAGAGATTACAGAGCCCCTATCTGTGTGAGCCAAGGTTCAGCTGCTCTGGGCCCCTGAGTTTCAAGGCCAATGCTGCAGATTTCAGCCAGACCATGCAGACCAGCGGGCATTCATAAGAGTGTGGCCTGAAAGTCATGAGTGAGGGATTTAGAATTCATTTTTTTAATTAATTAATTTTTAATTGAGATATAATTGACATTTAAGATTGTGTTAGTTTTAGCTATACAATATAATGATTTAATATATGCATATATTGTGAAATAATTACCACAATAAGTTTAGTTAACATTCATCACCATACAGAAATTTTTTTCTTGTGATGAGAACTTTTACGATTTACCATCTTAACAACTTTCAAATATACCATATAATATTACTGATTCCAGTCACCATGCTGTACATTACATCTGAGGGACTTATTTATCTTATAACTAGAAGTTTGTACCTTTTGACCACCTTCACCCCCAGCCTCTGGCAACCACAATGTATTCTCTGTATTTATGAGTTCAGTTTTGTTTTGTTTTTTAGATTGCACATATAAGTGAGAGCATACAGTATTTATCTCTCTGACTTATTTCACTTAGCATAGTGCCCTCAAAGTCCATCCACATTGTCATAAATAGCATGATTTCCTTCTTTTTTATGGATGAATAATATTCCATTGCATTATGTATACCACATCTTCTTTATCCATTCATCCACTGATGGACACTTGGGTTGTTTCCATGTCGTGGCTATTCTCAATAATGCTGCAGTGAACCTGGAGGTGCATATATATTTTCAAGTTAGTGGGTTTTTTCCTTTGGATAAATACCCAGAAGTAGAATTGCTGGATCATATGGTAGTTCTATTTTTAGTTTTTTAAGGAACTTCCATGCTGTTTTCCATAGTGGCTGCACCAACTTACATTCCCACCAACAATGCACAAGGGTTCCCTTTTCTACATCCTCACCAACCCTTGTTATTATTTGTCTTTTTTTGATGATGGCCATCCTAAAAGATATGAGATGATATCTCATTGTGTTTTTAATTTGCATTTCCCTGGTGTTTAGTGATATTGAGCTCCTTTTCATGTACCCATTGGCCATCTGATATCTTCTTTGGAAAAATGTCTGTTTGGATCCTCTGCCCATTTTTAATAGGATTGTTTTTTTTTTTCATTGAGTTGTATGAGTTTTTTATGTATTTTGGATGTTAACCCCTCATCAGATATATGATTTGCAAATATTTTCTCCCATTTGCTAGATTACCTTTTCATTTTATTAATGATTTTTTTTGCCTGTGCAGAAGCTTTTTAGTTTGATGTAGTCCCACTTGTTTATTTTTGTTTTTGTTTTGGATGTCTTTGCTTTTGATGTCAAATCCAAAAAATCATTGCTAACACCAGTGTCAAGGAGATTACCCCCCTATGTTTTTTTCTAGGAGTTTTGTGGTTTCAGGTATTACATTCCATTCTTTAATACATTTTGAGTTGAATTTTTGTGTATGGTGGTCCGGTTTCATTCTAGAATTCTTAATCAAAGTTCCAAAGAGGAAAGCCAGTCACTCATCACAGGAAAGGCTAATGAGCAGAGCAATAGAAATGAGCAGACCTTGGGGAGAGGAGAGTTGGGTCCAGCCCCAGATCTACCATTGCCTCATTATGCAGCTGTGGACAGATCACAGTCGTCTGTAGGCACCAACGTCTATACCTCCATCATGAATGTGCTGAAGAATTAATGCCCATGTCACTTGTCTTCTACATGTTTGTTTTCAGGGAACAGACCCTAGAGTTACATAGTCCATACTCCATGCTACTGTAGCAGAAGCCCTGACAGAGTCAGCTATAATCTTCCAGGCCTGGGGAGCTCAATATTTTGTACTCCCCATTGTTGGAAATCTCCAGGTGTTAGGTATTCTTTATCTAGAGACAACAATCTACTTCCCTGGAACTTTCTACCCATGCTTCTAGCTCTATTCTCTGGACCACTGTAGAAACAAGTCTGGACATGCCAGAGCTTCCAGTACTTGAGGATAGCTTTGCTGCCTAGCCCAAAGCCTCTCTTCTTTAGTCATCCCTTTGGTTCTCATCCAGGACCTATTGGTGACCATTCTCTATATGCCAGTGTCCCTTTGAGATATCCGGTTCCCCTATGCAGCGGTCCCAGGATCAACACATTCTGGAACCCTATTATTTTTGTAAACAGCATTTATTTAATCTGCCAATCATGTACCTTGAGCCAAGAGACAGACACTCTCTCCATAAAGAAATAATATTGTAGCATAAATATTTCCTGATAAACACTTGGTGCTTCTTAATGGATACAAGTTAACAAATGTTCCAGAGATCAAACTTAATTAGATTCAACTATATTTTCTTGAATTCCCCTTTCACTCCTTTTTAAAAATAGAACAGTTGATCATTTGCAATTTCCAATCTGGCTGATTCCTATTCCAATCTTCATGATTTCTAATATCAGGAATGGTTTTTCAATTGTATCTTGAAGCTAATTCAGTACACAGGACCTAAAGCTTGAACTTTTGAAATAACTGGATTCTCTCTCATTATCCTTTCTCCTATATAGGGTCCCAATTCCCTCTTAACTAATTTTTCCACACTTCCTTTTCTGAAGACTATGTAAGAAGGAAGTAAAATATAAAATGAGTGGTTATGTGTGGTTTAGTCTCTTTCATTAATGCCTATCATCATCCCTAAGAATGCTCCCTTGCCTTCCTCATCAACCAGCGCCCTCTGACATCACATTATTAAAGCATATCCACTCATTCTTGGCTTGTGGGTTGCTTTGCAAAATTGGAGGCAGGAGGTTGAAGAACTTCGGCCTTCAAATCTACAAACCCACTTTCCTTTGTAATCATCTCCCACCTTCATCTTGTTATGCTAGAGATCGGATTCATATCCCTCTGAGGATGTCCTGGATCTCGTTACCTTCCATCTTTGCAAGGGCCTGATTGAATGAATTCTCGCCTCCATCTTCTGAATGCTAAACTTCTCTCCATCTCTCTTCTGGAGTCTTCCAATTCCCACTGAAACATGCTTAACTTTTAAATTTCTTCCATCTCATATTCTCTTCTAGCTACAACTCCCTCTTTCCCTTTACAGCCAAACTGATACAAGAGCTAATTGTGTCCATGTTTTCACCTCCCACTTTCCCCTCAGACTACTTCAGTTCAGATTTCTCAGGTGTCATCTCTCTCCCAGACTTTTGCATTGGCTACCTGTCTGATTTTACTGTATCTACCCCTAGCCCTCAAATCAATTTCCTGCAGTCTAAGTACACTTTCAAAAACTCAAATCCAGTCATTGCACTCCCGAGGGGAAAACTTTTCAGTGTGTTCCTACTGATATTCAGGAAAAGTCTAGTCATGAACATGGCCTGCATCATCTGGCCCCCCATCCCCACCTAGCTGACCATACTTTCCTGCACCCTACTCCCACCACACCAGCGTTACCTTTATTTCCTTCAACAGTCCATGCTTCTCCTGACCTCTGGTCCTTTGCCCTCACTGTCTGCTCAGCTCTGGGGTTAGTTACCTAACTCCTGATCCTTCACGTCTTAGCCCCATTGGATTCCCATATTATTTACTCACATATCACTCTTCCCCGACCACAACATTCAAAATGCTTTTTTATTGTTTTTGCTCACTCCTTCCTTATTTTTTTAGAGCCTCATCAAAATTTAATTCATCACCATACAGTTTACCCATTTAAGATATGGGGTTCAATGGTTTTCAGCATAGTCACAGAGCTGTGCAACCATCACCACAATATAATTTTAGCACATTTTTCATCAACACAGAAAGAAACCCCATGCCCATTATCAGTCACTCCCCATGTGTGCCCCACCCCTCTAGTCCTAGGCAACCACTAACCTACTTTCTGAATCCATAGAGTTGCCTATTCTGGACATTTTACATATTTGGAATCATGTAATATGTGGCCTTTTGTGACTGACTTTTTTCACTTAGCATCATATTTTCAAGGTTAATCCATCTGGTAGCATGTATCAAGACTTTATGCTTTCTTAGCCACAAATATTATTTCATTTTGTAGATATACCATGTTTTATTGATCCATTCATCAGTTGATGGGCCATTTAGGTTGTTTCTACTTTTTGGCTATTGTGGATAATCCTGCCATGAATGTTTGTCTACAGATTTTTGCATGGATGTATGTTTTCATTTTCCTTGGGTGCGTACCTAAGAGTGAAGTTGCTGGGTCAGATGATAACTCTGTGTAACATTTTGAGGAACTGCCAAACTGTTTTCCAAAGCAGCTCTACCATTTTACATTTCCACTAGGAGTGAATGAGAGTTCCAGTTTCTCCACATCCTCGTCAACTTTTGCTATTTTCTGTCTTTTTTAGTTAGCCATCCTAGAGGGTGTGAAGTGATATCTCATTGTGGTGTTGATTTGCATTTTCCTGATGGCTTGTGATGTTGAGTAACTTTTCAGTATATAATTGACCATTTGTATATCGTCTTTGGAGAAATGTCTGTTCAAACCATTTGTCCATTTTTAAATTGGGTTATTTGTCTTTTTGTTACTGAGTTGTGAGGGTTCCATATATATATTCTATATATATATGTATGTATTCTAGTTACATGCCCTTTATCATACATGTGATTTGCAAAAATTTTCTCCCATTCTGCAGGCTGTCTTTTAAGTTTCCTGTTGCTATCATTTACAGAACATGAGTTTCTAATTTTAATGAAGTCTAACTTACCTATTGTTTCTCTTGTCACTTATACTTTTGGTGTTGTATCTAAGAAATCAGTGTCTAATCCAAGATTATGAATATTTACTCTTATATTTTTCTCCTAAAAGTTTTATAGTTTATATCTTACATTTAGGTCTTTGATCCATTTTGGGGTAGGTTTTGTATAGGATGTGATGTAGGGGTCCATCTTCATTCTTTTGCATGTGTATATCCCGTTGTCCCAGCACCACTTGTCGAAGAGACTCTTCTTTGCTCCATTTTATTGTCTTGGCACTCTTTCCAAAAATCAATTTCTCATAAAGTAAAGATTTATTTCTGAACTTTCAATTCTATTCCATTGATCTATATATCTATCCTTATGCCAGAACCACACCGTGCTGATTACTATAGTTTTATAGTAAGTTTTGAAATCAGGACGTGTGAGTTCTCCAACTTGATTTTTTTTTTCAAGATTGTTTTGGTGATCCTGGGTTCCTTACATTTACACATGAGTTTTAGCATCAGCTTGGCAGATTCTGTAGAAGAAAAAAAAAAGGCAGCTGGATTTGGATAGCAATCACATAAATCTGTAAGTCAATTTGGGGAATATTGCCATCTTCACAATAGAAAATTTTCTGATCTGTGAACATGAGATGTCTCTCCATTCTTTTAGGTCTTTAATTTCTTTCGACATTGTGTTGTTGTTTTCAATGTAGAAGTCCTATACTTCCTTTGTTAAATTTATTCCTAAGTATTGTATTCTTTTTGATGCTTTTATAAATAATTTCATTTTCAGATTGTTCATTGCTAATGTATAGAAATAAAATTGATTTTTGTATATTGATCTTATACTCTGCCACCTTGTTGAACTCATTTCTTAGTTCTAATAGATTTTTAGAGGATTCCTTACAATTTTATATATATATAATCATGTCATCTGCAAGTGGAAGTTGTTTTATTTCTTCTGTTCTAATCTGGATGCCTTCTATTTATTTTTCTTGTCTAATTGCCCTGGCTAGAACTTCTAGTACAATGCTGACTAGAGGTGGAGAAAGGAGATATCCTTATATTCTTGATCTTGGGAGAAAACACCCAGTCTTTCACCAATAAGTAGGATATTAGCCGTGGGGTTTTGTAGATACCATTTGCCAGCTTGAGGAAGTTCCCCTCTGTTTGTAGTTTAATGAGTCAACAGACTTTTAATTACTTGCTTGATGTCTGTATTCTCTGCTACACTGTAGCTGAGGTGTCTCTTGTTTATTGCTATCTCCTTAGCATGTAGCACAGTGCCTGGCATAGAGAAACCACTCAGTAATGATTTCCCAAATGGCTAAAATAAATTATCCTTTCAAGTTCGTGTCTTCCTTCATTTTGTTCTCATCCCAACCTCTGTAAATTTTGTCTTAAACCCAAGTCTTCCTGCTATTTCCGCCATTTCTCTATTTTCTTTCCCATTGGGATTACTAGGGAGCTGATAGTTAACAATATCTTGTCATAATCTCCAATACATCATGATGTATAGTCTTTTATAAAGGCTGTTGTCTGACCTATTGATCCTCTCACCCTTTTGAAATCTGCTTTCCTGTGTCCAGGGCACATTTCAAGTCTGCCCAACTTTCCCTTACTTTGCCACTCCAAGGTCAAAGTTACTTTCTTCCAGGATTTCCATAACTTACAGGTTCAATCCAGAGGAGAATTCCCTCTCCTCATCCATTTAGTCCTCTGTGCAGTGAAGCAGTCACTGGAACAAGTGAAACCTTGTCACATGAGCTAACCCCAGAGATTGTGGTTGCTGAAACCCCTTACCAGTCTAATTTCCTTCCAGAACACTCCCTACCAACTGTGTACAAGAAGTGTCAACCTTCCCTTGGCAGGCTGGGCTGTACTCCCATTGTGAGCCCGCTCTGTTCCTCTCTCTCTCATTTTCAACCCAACTGCTCTCCTCTGACTTCATACATTAGAAAATAGAAATGTGCAACCCGACAACAACTCTTCCTCCCCTCCATCATATCTGTTGTTTTTTTTTTTTTTTTTTTTGAACAAAACATATTCCTCCATTGCCTCATCACAGGGAATGTTTATGTTCAAATTGTTAAAAGATAGTAAGTTCATACTTTAAAAAAATGCTAATACTCAGTGCATTGGTATATGGTCCTTGGACATTTAAGGCTATGTTAATTGATTTTGGAGTGTAGAGGAATAATACACTGCAAGTGACACCCTGCTGAGAGTTTGTCCAGCTAATGTCATCTACATTCATGTTGGTCTACTGTCAATATGGCTGTAAAGTGCCTTATTCTAACAAAGTTAGTCTTTATAACAATTTCCCACTACACAAGAAGACAGTGTCTTGAGGAATGGGTCACCTTCTCCTGGTCTGCATGAAGGTGAAATATGGGCAGCAGTGGCCCTGATCCTGCTGATTTACCTACAACAGTTTTCACCAGAGTGGGTCTGCTTCTAGTCTAATGAATCCAGCTCTCCATCATTCAGACCAAAGCAGTTCTTTCTGCAAGTTGGGAGTCTGGATTTGCCTGGGGGTGTGCAAACTCTCCACCTGCTTCGACAAACAGACACCTGGTGATTACCAGGCACCCTTTGAACCTGGGTGCCCAGCCTTCCAGAGCCAGCTTTTAAAGAGGAATGCATCCAACTGGGAAAATGACAGACACCCTGATGGCATAAACCAAGATGGAGAAAGAGTTGGGACCCAGGACACAGGAGATCCAGCCTAGATCCTTCACTGGCTAGGGAAGCCCAGGGACCAGAGCTGTGCAGCTGAATGAGGAGGGGAACAGGAGGAACGACCTTTGGGGAAAAAAGTAGCCAGTAGTTTTATCTGATCGCTTAACCATGGGGAAAATAGTGTTAAGAAAGATTTTGAGATTCTGCTGGAGAGTTTTGGAAGAATTATTGGATAATGACATATAGACTAAGCAGATTTTTTAAATGAGGTAATTATTAACTCCTGGAAGAAAAAAGAATTATAGAAGAAAGGAAATGTGATCCTAGAGTATTTCTTCACTCAGCAGTGAACAGTACGTACATAATTGTAATAAAATAAAAATTGAATATTGATTTAACGAAAAATGTGACATAACTATAGTAGAGAATGGAGGGAGAGAAGATGCACGTATGAAAGTAGGTTAGGAGTGCCCAGCCCCATCATCCATCATGAGAAGTCAATAGGCATTTAAAATTGATGAGTCAAGGGGTAACCATGTATGCGTGTTATTTAGAAATATGGAGGTAAGCATCAGAAGAAAGAGTTTAGAGAGAGAAATTCGAGATAGGAATGGAACAGGGACTGCTGTTTTTCCTTCATGCCTTATAATACTTTTTGAGTTTTTAAATTATGTATATCGGGATGGATTTTTATCAAAAACAAGCGAACTAGCAAATAGTCTAAGAAACAAGAGTTTAAGATTCAAGGAAGGGCAGGGAGACAGAGAAGAAGAGTGAAGGCTTCTTCCATACCACATGGGCAGGAAAGTTGGTTGATTATAGTTGGAGAAAAAATGTCTGTGCAAGAATGTTACTTTAAGCCAAGAGACGTACACTAGAAAAGCCATTCTTCATCAGGAGTCCACAGCCCAGCTGGAACAGAGGAAAGAGCTGTTGTTATTGTAGCTGCCCCTGGTCTCAGCCCTTCCAACCTGCCCAGGGGGTTGGAGAGACATCTGCTCCCCAACTTTCCCTCCCGGCTGCTGCAGGCACTCAGGAGCTAAATGCACTGCAATTTGAACTCAGACAGGGCAGAGCGAGTGGGTAGGGTGCCTCTGAGGAATTTTGAAGAGTGAATTGGGCACCTTCCCATCCACTGGGGAGCCATGGGAGTGATGGAGCTGGTCCAGCCGTGCCAGCAGGTGGTACATGTGCTCCCTCTGCTGTCTGGCAGTCCCAAACAGCATCCGTAGGAATGGGGCCAGGACTCTGTGGTCGGTCCCTCAAAGGAAGGAAAGGTCTCTTTACCCTTCCTGAGCCTTCTGTGTTTGAACGTCTTTGTCTTTCTCTAGGACAAGCTCCCAGGGATTACTCAAGAATCCAGCTCTCATTCCAGGAGGCTGTGCTGCCCCTGTGGTTGTGATACACTGAATCCTGCCTCATCTGAAATGTAGTCAAAGCCGCCTTTGAGGAGCCTCAGCCAGGTCCTCAGATGGTCAGGATCTGGTAAGCCTGAGGTTACAGAGCAGGTCATCTGAGCCCTTTGGGACACCAGCCCGGAATCCCCTGGAAAATGAAACAAGAGATGTTCCACTGTGGGAAAAAAAGGGGAGAAGCTATATCTTGCTTCACTGCCACCAGTCCAATCCATTTCTTGGAAGAGAAATGACCACAGGGTGCTGTGTGTCACACAGGAGTGGTCTACTGGGCATTTGCGGAATAATCTTACTCTCCAGTGTCTGAATTCTGAGTGTTTCACAGCCAAAGGGCAAAATAAAATATGGTTCCCATAAAGGTCTTGGACTCCATGACAAGTAGGATCTTAATTCTGGTTGAAAACTAAATTTGGGGAAGGGAAATTCCAGCCAGCAAGGCAGGCACCTCCCTCCCTCCTTCTCCATAAAGTGGTCATCAGGTGTCTCAAAAAGATCATGATCCACTAGAGCATAGAATGCATTCCAGAGGATGACCAGGTCAGACCCCACTCAGGAGAACTTGCAGTTTGAGAACTCATTCCTGGAAGCATATTCCCAGTGGCAGAATCTTGGCAAACGTGTATGTCCAGAGGACAGGTGGGTGGGGACCTTCCTAATTATGACCTTTCCGAGCAGACACCAACAGAAGTGGATGGTGTGGGCAGGAGTGCGCCATCACACAAACACACACTCTCAGGAACAAGGTCAGTGTTTGGAAGTGGACACATCCTAGTACAAGGAACAAACACACAGCCAACTAATCTGCATCCCACAGGGACTGTTACAAAGCATTCATGATTATTTCAGTGACATAGCAGGGTCAGTCGCACAGCACAGCTTGGGCCAGGTCGTTTTTGCCTCCTGGCCCTGTGCTTAGTTAACCAGGATGGATGGCCATGCTTATCAGCATGGACTCTGGAGGCAGACAGAGCTAATGCCTGAAGACCCTGAGTCCTGGGCTGTCACACTGCCTCATTACATAAGGTTTTCTGCACACAAAACACTGGTACCAACAGGTCAACGTAGACTCTACTGAAAAAGGGAAAGTCCAAAATCATAAATGAGCCATTTCCTGCAGGACTCAGAGATGATCTTCACCTTAACGTCCAGGTAGAAAGTCCAACACACCTGCCCACTTTGCTGCCCCAATGACATGTCACCCCAGACTCCTGCTGGGCCTGCTTGGGCCCTGCAAGACAAGAGGGATGGAATTTTACAGGCTTAGGGTCAGTGGTGAGCAGCCTGGGCTGGCCGTGCCCCCTCTAGGTCAGCTGGATTGGTTCTCAGGATGCAGAGTGGTTTCCTCCCTCACGAGGCATTGCTCAAGAACCAGTCTTTAAGAGAGAGTGCATCAGACAGCATCAGGCAGGAAAACAGGAACTACTCAAGGTATTTCGAGAAGGAGGGATTTAACACAGGGAATGAGGTGCTTACAAAGCTGTTGGATTGGCTGGAGGAGCAAAGACCAGAGGAGGTCACCACTAACTCCCAGGTTCACCACCAGCTTTCAGAGAACCAAGAAGCTGCCGCTACCACCCAACCAGACACTACGGGGAACTGCCAGAAATGATCACTGCTGCCTGCAGCCCTAAGGCAGGTGGTTTGCAGGACAAAACCTCACATCTGCTGAAGCCTCTATGTCTGCCCACCCTGCTGGAGGCAGAATAATAAGGCTGCTGCCTCTCTTCTGCCTTCCAAATGACACATAAATACATCTCACTAGTGGGACTTACAATGTATCTGGAACTCTCCTGGCAAGGTGGTTCTCAGGCTTCCAGGCCCTGCCAGACAGGAGAGAATACAGATGGGGGTGGAAAGGGTGTCAAGTGCCAACAGACAATAGTCAGCACAGGGAAAAGAGAAAAATGGGGGTAGAGAAGGAAAGACAAAGCAGATGGAGATGGAGAGCTGGAGGGAGAAGGAAATTCAGACCGAGGGGCAGACAGAGGAGGCCTTGCAGGGAGCAATATGGACGAAATAAGATGGGAGATACAGAGGACAGGAGAGAGATCAGGACATCAAAACGGAAGCAAGAAGGCTGGGGTCTACGGATGTCAATGGGAGTGTTGGCAATCGAGCCCAATCATCTGAAATCCATCCCAGTGGAAATGTTGACAACAGTGATCAGGGTTGTGGCTATGATTCTCAAGCTTTATTGTACATAAAAACCACCTGGAACAATAACTTTTTAAAAAAAAGCTTCTGAAATTCTGATCCAGAAAGTCCAGGGCTAGTCCTAGGAATCTGGATTTTTTTTTTAAAGCTCCCCAGTGATGCCTGTGGTCCTTGGGTCACATTCCAAAATCCCTGCTTTTGCAACTCCACTGAACAGTGGAAATGCTCTGAGCTACAGCAAGCAGGGTAGCTACCACAAGCCTACTGAGTTCAAGCGCAAAGTCTGCTCCATCAGAGACTCCCCCAGCCCCACCCCCAGCGACACTCTGCTACCTGGGCCGTCTCTAAGACCTCTTCCCACCACCTCCTCACTCATGCTCACATCTTCCCTTCCTTCCAGCTCCCAGAGAACTGATGTCCTAGTTGATTTTTACCTCTAAAAAAGCTAATTAAGCAATAATCCTAGAAGAATCCATCACTGTGACAAGGCTGTTGATTAACCATCCCCCCAGCCAAGCCAAAAGTGCTTAATATCCCAGCAGAATGGTCCATACTGAGAGCAGCAGCAGCACTGGGCAGCAGCGAAGCACGCGATGGCTGTGTCTGAGAAGACACAAGCAGAATGGGTAATTGGGCCCAACTCTGCAGCCAAGTGGAGGACGGTGGAGAGGAAGGTGGACTCGCCTGAGGCTGCACAGGCTGGGGCATCAGTAACCAGACTCTAGACCATTCTTTCTGAGACCACCAAACGTCCCCAGAGAGTTTCTAAGGTTACAAACCACTCTCTGGACCATGGGAGACGTGTGAAAGGGAGCCAGACGTGGAGGCATTTTTAATTCTCCAACTTTACAGCTGTGTCCACTATAGAGCTGCTGGAGTAAAAGCAGAAACAGGCAAAACGATAAAATGGCTGCCTTTAGAGATCAATTTCAAGTATAGACTGAAATATAACTTTCTCTTTTCCACATTTAGAGTCTTAATCTAAACACCCCCCTGTTCCCTTAAAAGATTTGCTTTCTTCAGTGCTAGTAAAATAGTCTCTTTGACCGAGCAGGATTTGATAAAATACTGTCTCCTGATGGTCACAATGTCGCAGCTTTGAAGCATCCACCTCCAAAGGCTCCTTAGCCCTCAAGGAGCCAGGGGGGCCTCAGCGTGAAACCTCCAGCCAGCCCGGCCGAGCGTGCACCATCTGAGCTGCCATATCTGTGAAATTGTCCCATCGTCTGTCTGACTCCATCTTTGTTTGAATTCTGGTCTCATTTCTGCCACTTTTTGCATAGAGAGTGGATGAGGTTGGCAAAACCTCTGGACCTTGGGGAAGGAAACTGACCCCCAGCTGTGCCACTCAGATTTGGTCACTGACGTGCCATGTCATCTTAAGTCTTTGAGTTTCCAATTCTGTTCAGCCACAAAGAAAAGAAAATAGCATATAGTAAGCAATGAAAGTTAAGAGAATGAGTGACTGGACATCCGTAGGGGAGCATGGTGGAGGGGGCAGAACATGGGCGTGGCCTCTGCGGACCACGGTGTAAGCCCCGGCTCAGCCTCCGTATAGCTGTGGGTGCTTTGGAGAACGGACTTCTCTTTCTGGGCTTCCTTCTGCTCTAAATGAAGGGGCTGAACTTGAAGATCTCTAAGGTCCCTTCCATGTCACAAACTTGGAGAGCCAGGTCGTAAGTTCTAAACCTCAATCATCAAGGGGAAGCAATTAGCCAGCAAAAACGAGCTCCTAGCAACGCAGCAGCGACAGCTCTTACTGGGACCCACTGTCTAGGGAAATAAATCGAACAGGGCTCTTCTCCCTCAGCCTGGGAGCTGCTGCTCCTTTCAGGACATTTGTGACAATGGACATTCAAAGGCCCCTGCACTCACAGGGGGTTGGCTATTAGCATTGATGTGGCCCTGGGAAGGCAAAATCAGGATGATGGTGGTGAGACAGTGACACCTAGTGGCCATCTCCACTAATCACAGCCCAGCCCTGCTTCTCAACTCTTGCCAAACCCATCCTCCGCATGGTTACATGGCATCAGGAACCCACAGTGCAAGGCATGCAGGGCCCTGGCTTGTAATCTCAGTCTTGCAAATGCCTGTCTGTCTGGCCTTAGTCAGTTTCTTCAATAGAAGTTTGGCTTTTAAGTCCTTCCCTTCCAGCTGCCTTGTTCTCTGAGACTCTGCCATGGCTTAATGATGTATAGTTAAGGACCCTGGGCCCATGTGGTGGGCAGGATATCCCTACTGGGAAGGTGCAGCCCAGAGTTCACCGCTGGGACCTGGTGCTCCATCCACATGATCAAGCACAGTCCCGCCACTCCACACAGCCACGAGCCAGGCCACATGGCCAGGCCACCGACAGCAGACATTCCATGCCAAGGCCTGCCTCCATCCCAGCCACCAGCTGCTCAGGTGGGGGACGGTAACAGAACCAGCCAGAAGGAAGCCTTGTTGAGCTAGCTTTCCAGCGGGGGAGGGCAGTTCGTCTGGTGTGGCCCACTTTGGGGACCACAATCTTACCCTACTGGTAGGGTCCGTGGGGTTCGTGTATCCCTAAAGAACAATGCAGATTGGTTCTTTTTAACCACTGTACCCCTATGCTGATGCCCCACAAACCGAAGGACTGGAAAGGGGGTTCAGAACCTCCCCCCAGGGCCCAGGGACTTACCCTATCTCTTGGCACAGCTGAGGACACACAGGCTGAGCTTGTTGGGTCTTTCCTGAGACCCATTTTATTCTCATCCTGGAAAAACTGGGCTCCTGCCTCTTGAACTATGTTCCTATCGCTAATTTTTGGTCTGTGTTTATTAGTCTTTCTCAGGGTAGAATCTTTGAGTGCTTGCATGACTTCCGCAGAAGGCCTCGGTGCTTCCCAATACACAAACTGCAAAAACGCTGGATGAGGCTGTCTTTATGTCACCTTTACTCCTCATGGCCTCCCGTAGACCATTGCCAAGAAGTATACAGGGGTAACGCTTCCTTGAAGAAGGAAGCCATTCATTCAGGTTGGGGATGCAAATTCTAGAGCTGCCACAGCTTCTGGTGGTATGTGGTAACTTTCCCTTGTCATTAAATGGCGTGTGTAAAAATGCTTTCTTGGAGATGGAGAGCAGCTGAACTATCCTTCAAAACACCTATCCTATGTTAGTCAGGTTCCACTTTGGAGTCAAAAATACACCAGCTGTTTGAGTAGGGAAAATTTAATATGAAGA